AAACTCCTCTGGTTCTTATCCCCTGTTTGTACGAGACAACCCTTGTAAGGCTGTCCTACTTTTTCTCGTAAGTGAGCTGTTCTTTGCCTGGCATCATGAACTCCTGCTAATATATCCTTTCAGACATAGATCCCGCAACGCCCCCATCCTTCCCTCAGTGAGAGAGGATTGGCTGCTCTCCCCACCTGCATCCAGCTTGTTTCTGTCTCCTGCTTCCCCATCTTGATACCCCCAACCCCCTTGCGTTCTGCAATCTCTGAAGTGACTCCCAACGCTTCTGAGGCATCCCCGGGTCCCCCAGCTCCCTCTCTAGTGCTCTCCTGTCTTTCCTGAGGGCCCTGCTCCTGTCATCCGAGCTCTGAGCGCCCCATACCTCTTCCGTGCGTGCATCTAGCACAGCAAATGTTTGCCAGGTGACTGTTAGGGCTTTAATAAACTGAGCAGCATTCATTGGAAAACACATTTAATTTCAAAGTAAACAAAGATGTCTGTACATTAAAGTATTTAATTAGTGAAACAATTATTATCAGTGTAACAAGCTGAAAAATACAGCAACTTGATACAAGACTGAGGTAACAAAATACTTCACCAAAAATCTAAAGAATCCCACAGAGGGCTGATGTTCAGTGGTTACCGAGGTGAGACAATTCACAAGTATTAGAGAAAGTCCTTTACAACTGCATGCAGGGTCTGCTGGGAAAAAAAAAGACAGCCTGGGAGAATGAAACAGATTTAACAAGAAACCAACTAAAATGTAGAAATTTTCAACTTACTTGGAAGAATATATAAGAAATTGAAAACTACTCTCTACGCAACATGTTGAATGCTTAGTGGAAAACCATGCATTTTGGCACGAAATTTATTAAATATTATACCCTATTAATAAATTAATTACTATTATTTCATTACTGAATGGTCACAGTCATTCAGAAATGGACAGAGATTGATGGTTGTAAAATGGACAGATGATCTGTCACATTGCTGCTGCAAGAGGGATTTCTGGGTTGCACATGGGTTAAACACGCAGGCACGGGCTACAGGGTGGACTGACATCCATCCACCGCACAAGTTCTCAACACCCAAGACAATGCAGCTCTTGCTTATACTGTACTTCAATTTAACACTGAAGTTAAGGACTGAAGCCTATGAAACAAACACTGCGAACCTCCTGACCCTCCTCTGGGAGTCTGTCTTTGGAGTCCTCCAAGTACTCAACCACAGCTCTGTGCCCAGCTCTTCTGAGCTGCCAGCCCCTAGTGCTTGGACTCCAGCTGGTCCCAACGCTACTGCGCCTAACAGCAAGGCTGGGCCTTCTGGAGCCTTTCTGGAAGAATCTGTGTACAGGATTTGTACCCTGGGCTAGGCAGGGTCTCGCTCCAGGAGATGCATGGGAGTGCATCTGTTCATTAAACAGTCAGCTCCACAAGAGCAGAGACTGGATCTGTCTTGTTTTTAGCCATTTATATACTGGCTACAGTCTGGCACATGGGAAGCACTCACTAGAAGTTAGAATGAATGACTGAATGGACAAATGGGTGTTTTCTCAGAGAACCTATGATTTCAAAGGGACTCTTTTTTTTTTTTTTAACATGAAATCACCCGATATGCCAACTGATGTGGGGCTGGTTGTGAATGGACAAATGGGTGTTTTCTCAGAGAACCTATGATTTCAAAGGGACTCTTTTTTTTTTTTTAACATGAAATCACCCGATATGCCAATTGATGTGGGGCTGGTTACAGTCATTTATGGCATCACACACAAAAGTGAGGCTGTGTTTTTGGCAATGCTCACCTGGTGGCTGCGAGCATCAGCATGGGGGTGCAGAGCCCCCAGACCCCACTGAGCTTTCATAAAGCAGCTTGGCTTGCAGATGGTTTCCCATTCTCATAGACCACTTTTTAATCTGAAAATGGCATCCTCAAAGATACACCTTTTTGAGCTTGGGAGGTGGGAGTCGCACAATGGAAGAAATACTGGGCATAAAGAACTGTTTTAGAGATCAGTCGGTAGTCAAGAGTAGGTTCTTTCCTAAAAAGGTTCTTCCTCTTTGGCACCTCCACCTGACTGGGCGCTGAAAGGGCATCTGGTCAGGGGAGGGAAGGCTGCTGTGCGCTCCGTGGACACACTCAACACAGCTAGGGCTCTGCACCAAATCCGTCATCCACAAAATATTTCAATTGCCAGAGTGCACTTTGCCGACCTTGGGTTACAAAATGTGCTCTTAGTTGAGGGGCAAAAAGTACTCCTAGGTCAGTAGGAGTGAGCGGGCTCTTCTCGGGACACAATGCTGCCGGCTACTTAATCCAGTTTGTAGACGCACCATTCTCCAGCTCTCATTTTGGGGTGCCACACTCTGCTGAGAGAAAATGACAGCACATACATACACGACGCAGCACCTCCGAGTTTCACAGGTATCTGTGCACCAGGAACAGTCAAGGAGGAAAAACCAGAAACACTTCCCTCCAAGATGAGGATCCACTCTAGGACCTACCCCTCTGCAATCTGTGCCTGGCCCTCTCTGTCCTTGGCTTGCAGGTCTCCCCGCCTGCAGCTTGTGGGATAAGCCAGCACTGGAAGACAATAAGCACTGGAGTTGGGGCTGGCCCGAGTCCCTGCTTGGAGAAGTTGGTTATCTTTCAGCTTCACCTCCAGGCTCTTCTGAGTGTTCAGGGCTCCTAGTGCTACAAGGCTTTTGCCAACAAAGTCCAAACAGATTCTTCAAGAGTCCGAGGTAAGAATGTTTCTGGGAGGGGATGTGGGATCAGTCTCTACTGGTGAGAAGACTAAACACTTTGAAAAAACTTGACTGTGCTCTTTCAAATTAGACTCAGAAGAAAATGTTTGTGAAGGATAAGAAAAACTTGGAAAGGGTAGAAGATTGGTTTTGTGGAGCCTGAAATTCTGGGGTTTTGGGATTGGCATGTATCATATTTCATGTACGAAAAACCAGGATAGGGTTAGAGAGTGGAGAAACCCAAGAAAAAGAAATAGCTGAGAGTCCAGTCTTGCACTTTCATCCAGGCTTGAGACCGTTTAGAAGTTAACGCGGAGGGTTGGGCTTGACATTGGCTCTGGTCAGAGGTGTCGGCCTGCTTGGCGCCGTCACTCAGCCTTGGATATCAATTTGAAGTCGTCGGCAGAATCGAGTGCACATACAGGGACCCCGGGTACAGGTGGGTGCTCAAGGCAGCGGTGGTCAAGGTTTGACGGCATTAACTTTCCCTTTTGGAGTTTCTCTCTGCGTGGAAGCGTCCAGTCTTTTCTCCAAAAGAGGGCTCGCTTTTGAGCACGGCGAGGCTCAACCATAAAGCACCACCCGGAGGGCAACTATTTTTGTCACCAATTCATTCCACTTTTCAGAGAAGTTGTCATCATTTGATCAACATACAGTGATGGGTCTTCTGGTAGTTTTTCAATCGATCTGTTATAGTTTACTTGTTAAGATGTTATTTTGAAGCTTCTTACCAAAAACCTCTTCCGGATAGTTTGATGCTTGGTTATTGTGAGTTCTGAAACCACAAAAGGGACAAGGATGCAGAAATTCTGTCTCTTTCATAAAACGGGTTAAGGGGCTCCTTCTCAGGGTTAGGCGATCCAAATAAAATGGGGTGGGGGGGGAAGTGGAGAGGGATAAAGAACAGGAGGCTATGATGATAAGGAGCAATTCGCTTTCAATAAAAACATACTTGTGCAAAGTAAAAGTTCCCTTAAAGTACGACAGAAGGTGCCAGATAAATGTCATCGTTCATGGGAAGGACTCTTGGGCAAATGCACAGTTGATGTTCACTCCCCAGAGCTTGGCTTTCTTGTCACAGGTCATCAACAGTTGTGCCCTTGGACTTGGAGAACTTGCTGGTGACTGCATTTGGAGGCAAGACGGGGGGAACGTAAGGCCTCAGTGTCACTCAGCTCCCGCTGTGATCAGGAGTCCCATGGGGCCCGCCCTGGCAGTGGAGGCGATGGGGTGAGATGACCGACGGAAACAAAAGCCTGCCCGGCGCAGCAAGGTTTGGTGTAAAGTGACTTCCGTGTGGCTGATCACCGTGAGCACGGTAGCTTCCGAGCTGCTGAGGATGCTGAGAGAAAATGCCACAACTTCCCACGAGGGCACGGTGGGAGCAGCTCTGCCAAGAGAGGGCATGGAGGAAGCGAGCAGGCCAGCGGCCCAGTCTGCAGTCCAGAACCAGGTCCTGCCTCAGCAGGGCTGACAGCAACAAGGCCTAGAAGGGGCCCGGGGCCCCGGGAGCAGGCCTTCCAGATGAATAGCACCCATAGGAACAGAAAACAAGACACAATTTAAGGCATTGTTTGTTTACAGTAAAAGAACACAAGGGACCCTAACACAGGGGCATCTGGGCTCCCACTCTGACCTTTCTTGATGGAAAAGGCTATCACTGAAGGTTCAAGCAGGGCCTCAAAGAAAATGAAGTGGGTGATGTCACAAGTCTTGTGCCAAAATGCATGTTTCTCGGAGATTTCACACTCGCTCGCACGCACACATGTATGGCACGCACACGGAGAGGACGCTTCGGGGGTTGTACAAAATCTGAGGCAGCCCGGTGGGGCGAGCAGTCCCATGCACTTGGGGTGTAGCAGGCCCGTTGCACAGCCTGTTCCTGCTGTCTGGCCCCTCTTGCAGGTTAATGCTGTCCATTCTGTGTGCAGCAGGAAGGATGGAGAACCCAACATGGGCCAAATGCTGTCTTGCCACAGATGAGGTCCAGAGAGGGGTGGGGTCCGACCAGCACCCTGCGAGGTGGTGCTGCAGAATGAGTCTGAGAGTCACTGGGAACCGACGGGCGGATCCCACAGTAGGGAGCCTTCTGGGACTGTGAGGCTGAAGGCCACGTCCCCTGAGTCTGGCTGCGGGGCTCACAGCCTGTGCCCAGGGCTGCTCTTCTCCACCAGGCCCAGTCTGGGCTCCCAGAAGCCTTTTCAGTCACGCCAAGTCCTGCAGAGACTTATTCAAATGACATAAGGTTTGCAGGTACCTGGAAGAGAAAACTTAGCTTCTTGTCAAAGTTCGGATGCTTGGAAAGGGACGGGGGTAGACCCTAGGGGAAGGGACCAGGCCTTTCCTAGCCACGCTGTGAATGAGCAGGTCAGTTATGGAGGAAGCATGGCAGTGATAATAGTAATAATAAATATATAGCGGCCACTTTGTGCTGAATACTTCACATGCAGCCCCAGGAGGAAACAGAGGTTTCTGTGCACGGTGAGTAGGAATCCGAGCCTAGGCTTTCAACCACTACCCTCCCATCAAAATGAAACTGCAGTCGGGGTAGGGAGGACCAGCCTCACGGGAATGGGGCACACGTGTACCTCTGGAGGGGACACCAGCAAGCGGGAGACGGCAGAGAATCCTGGCCAAGTGGAAGCCCAGGAGAAGGACGAAGCCCGGGGATATGACAAACCCTCGGGCCTCCCCGTAGTCTGCTCGGGCACAAGACCCTGGCCCTGTTCACTGGGGGCCGTCACCACCGAGGGCAAGGATTGTCCCAGCCTCAGACCTCCTCTCCCAGCACTGCTGTGGGTTCCAAGAGACCTGATCAAAAGCGGTCTCATCAAGATAAACCCACCTTGATATCAATCTGGTCAAAATGAATTAGGAAAAAAAAATGCACCTCCATGCAGCAGGAGACAGTAATAATGTTCACAGCAGCACGGCCAGGGTGGCAAAGTGCAGGCTGGAGTGACCGGCAGAAGAAACGGGGAAAGATCACTGCAGTCAACTGAACTGACCGCTACGTGTGCCGACTCCAAGAACAGGAGCGTCTTGCTGGCAAGCATTTTGATGGCTGCCAACCTTTTGCTATCACATAGAGCACAGAGTGGGGCTATTTGATGAAAAATACATAGGAAATAAAAGAAACAGTAGGAAAACATGTTCCTTCATTTTGGCCTGAAAACTGAAAAAAATCCTTAAAAAAAAAAAAAAAACTTGCAGGATTTGCCTCAGACACTGTATTTCACCAACAGGTGAAATCCCATCAGCGGGTCCCTTTGAGCCAACCCACACTGCTTTTAACATGGTCCCGGCCTGCCTGCTGTGCAGTGCTGCCGCCCTCTGGCTGCTGTCTGCAGGGGAATGCAGGTCCTTGCTCAGGGCTCCTCTGGCTGCTTCAGGCTGAGACCAAGGTCCTGCCTCTTCCCCCACCCTGCCCAGGCCGTCTATCCCGGGGCTGTCAGTTCCTGCAGTTCTGCAACCACCTGGTGTCCTGCATGTAGGTTCCGGGCTACCTGTGCGTGGCCCATGAGCTTCAGTGTGCTGCGCTCTGAAGAGTGGCACTCAGAGCTGATGAGGGAGCACAGATGCACCGGGGCTGAGCCCAGGGTGGTCCCAAATCCAGCTCTCCCTCTCTTAATGACATCTGATGTGGGCAGCCTCATTCAGTCCTTCATACCTTGTTCCATGGATTGCCTTGAGATGACAGCTGACCAGAGCCACCGGTCTACCCGCCTCAGAGACAAGAATGACGTTAATTTAAGGTACAGAGTACAGGTAAGCTGGGCAGGGGGTGTGGCTCCATGGTACTGTGCTTGCCTAGCCTATGCAAGGCCCTGGGTTTGACCCACCGAGCCCCAGAATCAGTTTATGTGTGTGTATGTAATTCGTTTCTTGTATATTACTGTAGAAAGTTTACGTGCATATACAAACATACATATGGTAGACATGGATATGTATTTTGAGGGAGGGTTGAGACTGAATCTCACTAGACAGTCTTCAGGCTGGCTCTGAACTCACTAGCCCAGTCCAGGCTGGGCTCGAATCTGCGGTGATCCTCCTGTCTCAGCCTCCCAAGAGCTGGGATTGCGGGTGTGCGCCACTGTGCTGGCTGTCTATGTATGCGAATGTGAGTGACGTCATCCTTCCCGATGTCTGTGCCCCTCCTTATTACTGTATGATGGAGCTCTGTCCAGGCTGCACCCAGATCTGCTGCCCTCTTCCTGATGGCCACCCAGTGCACAGTAGGAATCTGCTGCGGGTCATGTCAGTTTCCACTGCTCTATCAAGAGCAGTGCTACAGTGACCGTTCTTTAGCATACGCCTCCGAGGACCTGGGGGATCCCTACCAGCATCCCTGGGGAGTCAGAGGGCTGAGTGAGGTGGATTTGGGCCTCCCTGTGGTACCTCGTTCATCCTTATGTTAGCCTTGTCCTGCTTCTTTAGTTTGTTGAGGACTTCCTGCTTATTCCCCTTCCAACTTCTTACGGCCTGTAATCTGGACCAGCTTCTCATATATGTCCCCATCTACGTTACAACTGAGAATCCTCAATAGGACCAAGCTGAGCGCAGAGCCCTAGGACCTGCCCCTAGTGTCCTCCCTCCGTTTACAAGATGCCCTGAGGGGCCAAGAAGGGTCAATGTGCCGTGACCAGCAGGTAAGTCCCAGTCCTTCCAGGCCCAGCACCTGGAGCCGAGGTCCCCGCAGACCTTCCTCCTAGAAGCGGCCACCATCTATTCTTCCCCCTTCTCTCCCAGACAGGCTGAGGAGAGGGACCCGATGTCCCCAGTTCTCTCTGACATGGGTGTTTAGGGACAGGAGCACCAATGCTGCTTGCTGGCTGCAGGGAAGGGAAAACTCCAGCCTGCCCACTTCTGTGCCGAGAGGCAGCACAGCCGTGTCTGTGGAGTCAGCCTGGCTGGTAGGGCCGCCTTCCCAGGGTGCTGGCACAGCTGCAGGGCTACCAGGGAAATAGGGGCAGGACAGCTCGGGGTACAAGGTCAGGATCAGGAGTCAGGTGGCTCTGGGTTAGATCCCAGGTCCACTGTGCAGTAACACTGAAGGAGCCTCAGGATCCTCAGAACAAAATGGAGGCAGGAAGAGAACCTTATAAGATGGAGGACTGGGCCAATTCCTGTATGTGAAGGATTCAGCGTAATGGCTAATGAGGAGGGCGTGGGAAGGGAGCCAGAGCCCAAGCCAGGTCCAGCAGCCCAGAGGGAGCCCACATCTGTACAAAGTCCCTCGGAGCAGGAGTCCCCAGTCATCAGCACGGGGTTGGCCTTCGATAAACGAGTTGCCACTATCATTTCCAAGAGTGGGACTGGGAGGTGCATTAGTCGAGGACATGCCCAAAAAATCAGCTTTGGGGGGATGAATTCAATAGATTCTGGAGCCTGATCCTTGCCACCTCCCTGTTTCTCAGTGAATGTTTTTGTGGCATTTCCTTTAGTGGAAGAGACACAGGAACCAGACCCAAAGTTCTCCGGGTCTCCAGTTCTGATGCTGGGCTCCATTCTATGCTGTGCAAGGGGTGTCTTACTTCAGAGGAAATTGCTGACCCAGAGAAGGTGCCTGGGAGCAGAGCTGCTGGGCTCTGAGGGAAGAAGGGAACCTGTTTCCTAAGGAGCTCGAGTCCCTGGGGCGGGAGGGTATTTCCAGTGAGAAGTGGGATTCTGGTGACTTTACCTGAGGCCTGTTGCTTTTACATGCATCATCCAAATGCTTGTGCCACAGTATTGCATGGAACCGGGAGCCAGTCTGAAACTTGTAAACATTGCCTGATGGGCAGAGGAAGCACTGGTTAAGAAGAGGGTAGTAGAAGAGGTGGTAGAACATTTGTCTAGCATGTGTGAGGCCCTGGGATCAAACCTCCCGCATCCATCAATCTATATAAACACACACATATAAATACATACATGACAGACACGAAGGGCCAGCCTGTGACTGTACGGGAGGGAAACACGGCCTGGATGATTAATCTAAGGAAGGTCAGGTGAGCTGGAGGACACAGGCAGGCGGGCGCTCCTGTTCCCTTAGCTGTGTCTTTGGACTGGGGCTTTGACCGTGTTTTGGGTCTTTGGTTGTCTGGAAACTTGTGACCTCTTCTCAGAATGTTTTTAAATGTATAAAATAAAATATAGGGCCAGGGATTTAGCTCAGGGGTGCCGCCACCTGCCTTGCAAGCACAAGGTCCTGAGTTTGATACCCAGTACCCCCCAAAAAAAAGTATATATGTATGTATAAAAAAGACAATGATCCTGAGACACAGTTAGGAAACTACCTACAAACCAACTGGGTAATGGAATTCTACACACGCTCCTGCACTTATGCACGAATGACCAAATCTAGTGCTTGTCCGATACTCTGCCTTGATTTCAGAGACGAGCATAAATGATGCTTTTTGAGATATGTGCAACCACTCAGGACATGAAAATACCCATGATGTCCGTCAGGGATAAACTCACACGCATTGCTGACACATTTTCCATTTGATACCTATACTCAAGATGGAAAGAGTCAGAAGTTACGGCTGACAAAGATGTGATTTTTCTCTCCTCACCCAAGTTCACAGATACTTCAGATCCTACACATGGACTCTGGCCAACCCTTGTGTCACATTTCCTTCCGCTCGGGGATCCCGTTTCCCTCTGGGCTCAGGCTCAGGCGTAGCTTATGGTCCTTGGGGGCACAAGGCCTCACAGTCAAGCTTGTGCAGACCAAGCTTCTTGCTTCTTAATGAAACCAACACTGAAGAAACTCAAGGGGTGACCCAGCGGAGGGTGTGTGTGTGAGACGCATGTGAGCTCATTCACTGACAGGAGCAGAGAGCAGGGCCATCTACCTCTTCTCCACCCTCCCCGGCTCCTAGAGGCTCCCGTGTGCCTCGTGTCTTTGTTGCTCCAACTGAGAACATGGCAGCCTGGCCCTCAGAGTGTGGCCCCCTGGCCAGCACTATCATCTGCCCCTGCCTCCCAGGAGCCTGATAAAGATGCAGAATCCAGGTGTCCACTCCCCATCCATAGACTGTAAGTCTGAATGTCAACACGTTTCCCAGGAACCTGCCTGTGCAGGAACCCTGGTCTAGAACATTCTTGTTAATGTGTAAAGATACGTGGGGATGTCGTGGCCCCGGTGAGTTGGCCTGGCTAGAATCCAAGACTCGGGCCATGTTGGGTTTTTGTTCCATGACATGGGCTACCGAGGAGGCTAGCTATGGCCTCTGCATATCAGGATGGGGCCCAGAACCTCTCCTTCCCCCCAGCAGGGCCACAAAGGAGGTACAGAACCAGGAGGGACTGGGAAGGCCCTCAGGAGGGGTAGGTTGGAGCTTTTGGAATTTCCATGTTCTTCTGATTGGCCTTGGACCTGGACTCTACCATGGCACAGGTAATGAGTTCTTGACATCCCCCAAGATCCAAGACTCTGTAGTCCCTTGGTCCAGCCGCATTCAGCACTGTCTTTTGTTCCTACACCTTGAGGCGACAGCTCCTGATGGGCCTCAGAAGCCAAAGGCAAGGCCACACAAGTGATTCCTGTAGCCAACACCACACATACTGCTCACCGGTCACACCAACGGTGATCCAAGCAGCTTTGTGGCCTAGTGAGGGCATAGTGGGTGACATCCAAACCTAATGCAAAGGGAAATGGCAGCCTCAAAGCTCCTAATGCTTCCAGAGGCCCATTTGGCAGAAGAGCAGACGGGGTAGAGAAAGCTGCTGGTGTCTGGTGCCCAGCCTGCTGCCTACCTTTGTCGGGGTTGTTCAGCTGGAAGATATCCGGGTGCTCGGGGTCATCAGGCAGCTGCACCATCCAGCCCACGATGGAGACCTTTTTGCCAGGTGTGGACTTATACTAGAGAGGAGGAACACACAGCTGGGAGGCCCAGGCCCGTGCCCTCCTGTCCACAAGGGAGGCTGACTCGGCCAAGCACGCTTCCTTCACACCTCAGCCCTGCACTTCCCAGAGGTCCCCGCCCCCGGGTGAGGTCCCGGTATGGGAGCCCATTCATGGGACTTACATGTTTTCTGTCTGTGCCTCGCAAGGACTTGGCTCTGTAGTACAGGAGGGTGGATCCTGAGAGTATGACCCAGTACCTGGTCCAGGAGGACAGCTGCACAAGAAGGGGAGGCAGTGATGACATGGGGGACAGGGTGGCCCTTGGCTTCCTGATTGCAGATGCAGCCACCTCCTGGCAATGCCAGCTCAGGTTTCCTCTCTTCCCCAGCCTCGGTCATCTCCCGGCAATGCCCTTCCTCTCAGGATCAAGAGGAAGGGATTTCTCTTCACTTCTGTATCACTCCTTACGGAGGTTTTCCTTCTCAGACCACTTTGTGGAAGCCAGTGCCAGGGCATGATTCCTACACAGTCAGGTGACCTGGGTCCAAAACATCCTGGGAAAAGCACTTTTAAAATACAGATGTGCTAAACCACAGTCTAGAAGCTTGGTGCTTGCAAGGGGCTGCCCTGGATGGAGTTGAGGGGTGGGAACTCTGGAAGGGCTAAGCTATGGGTGGGCTTCTGTTTCTCCAGGCCAAGGGGCAGAATTCCCAGGGCTCTGCGCCTTGGTTAGGGGGAACAACTCCCATGGGCTTTGGTTCTGCAAAGGCAAAGCTAATACCCGTCTGGCAGACAAAGGAGCAGGCTGCTGTGTTTCACCACACAGGGCCCCTTCATAGTACTAAAGAAAAGCAAGGGCTTTAGACCCACAGGGGTGTACAGTGCACAGGCACGCAAGTGACGAATGGACAAAGTTCATGGAACCATACTCATCTTTCCTATCTGTGAGGAACTCTGTAAAATTTCCATTCTACTCTACTAAAAAATATGGGTCATGACCCACTGACCTGATTCCATTACTCATTATCGAGTCAGCTAGCATTTGGGACAACACTGCCTTAAGGACCCTGTAGGCTCTGGCCCTGGGGTGACTGCGCAGTCAGTACAAGGACAGACATAACCCTGTGCTGCGGGAGGCTCTGTGACACCGTGGGACCCCATGTCACTAAGTGACACAGCGTGGCCAGACCTGGGGAGGAGACTTTCTTATCACCCAGGAGGCGATTGGCAGCTAGAGACAGGGGCTCCGAGAGCACCTGGTGGGGGTGCGTGGGCCCGGCCCTGGCATCTTCTTGGCGGGCCCTGGGAGGAGGGGCATCTCTAGCTGACCCTGTGGGCAGTAGACAGACAGGGGCTAGGGCAGGACAGATGCTGCCTCGAGATGCAGCTCACAGATGGCTTGGGGCAACTTGTCATGCAAGGGGCTGAGCTACCAGCACAGGGGGTCATGGAGCTGACGTCTGGTTCAGCATTGGAGGCTGGTGGTGAAAGTCCTCCTGAGCCTCATCCTTGCACTTCCTCCACGCATTTTAGGACACTGCTGGGACAGGTAGGAGCCTGCATCTGGGAATGCCACAGGCAGGCACAGGCTCGGGGCCACTCAGCCTCCTGGGCCACTTGACCTTTTTCTTCCCAGCCTCCAGGTTTCCTGCCCTCCAGGCCACTTCCCATGCTCCTGTGTGCAGGCACTGCCACAGGATGCGTCCAGGAGGAGGCTCAGTCTCGTTCCAACTTACAGGGTGGAAACAAAGGCCCTGCTCTCGCAGCTGCGGGCTCCGGCTGGGAGCCCTCCTGGCCACCTTTAGACCAGGCGCTCACTCTGGCCCAGGCTGCCTCCAGCAGACATGCTGACTTACTGCGGGCTTCCGTCCTTCCTTGAGCAGGGTTTTCCTTCTCAGAGGCCCTTCCATGGTGGGCACAGCTGCTGAGCTTCCCAAGGTGCAGGTGCACGGGCTGGTGGGGCTGAGGAGAGACCACCAGTCAGACATCCTCTCATCCACTGGAGTCCCTAGGTGTCCACTAGTGAGTCCCTGGCATTCCCTTAGGCAAGTGAACTCCAAGCACTGGGCAAGGCCGGGCAGGGGAGGGCCAAGGTCCTAGAAGAGCACGAAGGGCTCCCGGTAGCTGAGCACCTTCACCTCCTCGGTCTTCAAGCTCTAGCCTTAGTGATCAAGTTCCCCGACTCAGCTCCCAGCAGCAGCTACCCTCTCTGGAAGACACCTGTCATGGCTTCCTCCTGGCTGCTCCTTGGGCTGGCCAGAGCCTTGGAGGATCTGTGTGCGGGGTACAGTGGGGAGGAGGCATGGGGGTGCCCACAACTTTTCCTCCAGGCTCCTGTTACCCTCTCCCTCAGGATCAGGCACCATCCACCCGAGGTGACCTCACAGTGCACGGCTAGGCCAGCCCTGTCTGAGCCTCAGATCTGGGTGCTTCTGCTCACTTACACAGGAGGTACCTTGCCAAGCCTGCTGGTGAGCACCTTTGCCCCGCAAACCAATCCGTCCCAAGGATGCACTGATGCACGGTCCTAACTACGCCTGGCTGTCCATGCCAGCTGTCCCGCCTCCCCTCCAAAGGCCAGTGAATCTTCCTTTGGATGACCGCTCACGGCCTGCGCCTGCCCTGCTTCCTCCTCTACCCTCACCACGCCGTCCCCCTTCCTGGCTCCCACGCTTTGCAGGGACAAAGTCACCATTCTTGCACCTGCTGGATGTGCCTCCCCCGAGTCTCACCCGCGCCACTTCCTCTCACTCTGCACGACCCAGCCTCTCCTTCACTCAGACTCCCCAGCTCCACATGCTGCATGGCCGGGAGCGCCCTCATCACTCCTGCGAGTCTCTCCTGTTGTCGGGCTCACACTCATGGTTCTGCCAGCCTCACCTTCCCCGAGTCCCTTGCCTCCTTCCCCAAGTGGCCCACACCTCGCCGCTGAGACAATCGGTGCAACTGGTTGTGGCCTCACGAAGGCAAAGGCTGCATCTCTCCTTCCACAGCCTCCAACCAAGAGCTCTGCACTCAACAGGCACCGTAAAGGTGTCCCACGAATAAATAAGCAAGGGAGTAAATGAATGAGTACCTGTAAGCACAGCTGCGCGTTCTGGGAGAATTCCGCACTGGAACCCGCCAGTTGGGCCCTAGGGTGGCGTAGAGACGTCCCCTGCTACAGAGGAAAAGGGGGGAATTTCAGCACGACCTGGAAAGACCAGGTATCCCCTATGACTGTGTGGTGAGCCCCTCCCCAGCCCCGCTCCAGGCTTCTCACTCCTGCTGCCAGCACCTCTGGGGCACATCTGGAGCCGCTGCCAGTGAACACACACCATCCGGGTCCTCCTCCGGGAAGCCTCCAAGTCTCCGGTGAGTGTTCCATCTCATTTGCACCCAAAGTGCACCCTTTTCCCAGTTACCCCCATGTGCGGCAGATGCGTGTTTTGGAAAATGCGGCAACACCCACACAGTAGGGCCACACTGGACGGGCACGCAGACACAGAACTGTGTGCAGTGTCACACATCGGGCCTGGGGACGTGCAGCACCCATCCACCAGGACGTCACTGGGTCTGTCTGCCTGCTCTGTCCTCTGGACAGCCTCCTCTGCTGGCTCCGCTGCCCCTGCAAACAGGCTCCATGACCCACAGAGCACCCAGAGGCCCTCCCCACGGACTCCGCCTGGCATTTCTCCCTCCAGCACCCCCAGCATGAGCCTGTCCAGCAGAGCAGGCAGCTTCTTGCTCCAGCTCCTCTGGGGGAGGCACCCTCTCCTCTCTCCTCTTCAAGTTTTCCATCTTAGAAGACTCACTCCCTGTGTCCGCTTGCTGGCAGTAGCCCCAAGTAGACTCGTTCCCGGTCCTGCAGCACGCTCCACCCCTCCACTGGGGCTTTTTTCGCCCCATGACCAGATGGTGACGTAACCCCCGTATAAAGTCAGAGGAGGCTCTTCCCAAACGCTCCCCGTGCTGTCCACAGCCCGCCCTGGGCTGCTACCTACTGGGGGTAGAGCTGGGCCATCTCCACTCTCTGCAGCTGGTACATCACTGAGCCCAGGGCCTCCATCCTCCAGCAGAGAAGCGCTCCTGACGGCCCTCTTGGGCCCACTGTCCAGGGGCGCCTTGCTGGTCCTCAGGGATGGCTGCTCCGGGGCCCTCCCCTTCTCCCATCAGCTCCTCTCTCGGGGATGACGCGCCGCACCATGCGTGTGGGCCCCCGGGGGCTCAGCGTGATGGGTCTCACGATGATGGTCCCGGCTGGCCCTGACCTACCACAAGCCGTGGCACGGACAAGAGGCAGGGCCTCCTCCCCCTCTGCCATCCAGAGGCTGGAACACAGTGTGAGAAGGAGACGCTGCCCAGGGGGCAGGGCCGCCAGCTGTCCTTTCTAAGAATCTGGAGCCTCAGGCTCGAGTAACCTCCTACTGTGGCGGCAGCAGCCATCTCATCCCAAGCTGAGCGGTACGGTACCGTGACAAGCGCCTCCGGGCCGCCTCGGGGCTTCCTCACAGGCGGGGTCTGGTGCTGGATTCCACGAGGATGCCTTCCTGGCGGCGTCCTCTCGGACTCTGACCCACATTCCCAGACTGAGCTGCTGCCATCTGGAGCCGAGGGAGCCTCCCTTCCCCGCGCTGGTCCTCTGGCTTTTGTTCTACCATCTTGTGGGTCCCTGTCACCCCAGGACAGTGTGATAACAGGACAGTTTGCCGCCACCTGTCACTTCTTTGGACAGGGCAAGGGGCTGTGCCGCCTCCTGGTCCTCACCACTGTCTCAGATGGTTGGCGACCTTGGCTGTGTACTTAGATGTTGGCGGAACAGATATTTGTGGCGAGGGAGACTGCAGCTGCATCTTCCGGTGAGCCTGGCCTCGTAGGTGGATATCACCCCGGTACAACACGCAGGGGACTGGTGGCGCAGAGACACTGGCTTGCTGGGGTCGCTCACGGACAGACCGAGGAGCCACTGGGTGGCAGGTGCTCGTACGCACCAGGCCGTCGTGCCCACTCCTCACTGAAGCTTTGTGTAAGCACCGTTGCGCCTCACGTAAGGAGCAAATGGAGGCGCAGCAATCTGAGGCTACTCAACCAAGGCACAGGCTTGCCAAGTCAGTCTGATGCCACAGCTCGAGCCCCGCACCACAGGAGAGGGGCCTGACACAGAGGAAGGAGCGGCAGACGGCCAACATGGCCTGGCGCACGTCTCCTTCAGCGTGGGCCTCCCTGGCATCCTACTTAGAGGCAGCTGTGATGGGCACCTCAGCCCTCAGCCCCCACTTACTGGGCTGTGCCAGTGTCTGCGAGGCCAAATGGCCACGAAGTCCTTAGGGTCTCCCGGGGTGGGCAGCGCCAGGGTCCCCGTCCCTTGGCTTCTGCCATGCAGTGTTCTCCTGGGGCGTTGGCTGCCCCTTCATCACAGCCACGGGCTGACTGTGCGCTGCTGAGTGCTTTCGCACGGGAATCCGCCCCACCCTGTGGGAGAGGCACGGTCAGTCCTCACACCGTGTCAGTCAGAGAGCACTGAGACTCAAGGAGCTGGAGGAGCCGCTTGGCCCACCCTGCCGGAACGTGAGCGCCCGCCCTGCGGTGGGCCGAGGGCCTGCTGGAGCCAGTCTCCAGACCTGCTCTCCGGCAGCCAGCTCAGCCGGGGGGGTCAGCTGGCATCAGCACAGAGCAGCGAGGAGCCTCCGTCACGGGAGCCGGGCGGCCCCATCCTTCCCTGTTTTCTTTGGTGAATTTTCTTGGCCGGGAAATGCAGTCCGAGCGGGCAGGGGTGGCCGGTAGAGGCTGGGAATCACAATTTCTCAAGGGGTCCTACTCCAGAGGCGCAGACACTGCTCCTAGTGTGGCTCTGGGACCGTGGCTGAACGTGTCCTCAGGAGTACTGCTGACCGTTCCTCCTCTAGGATGGATCTGGGTGTGAGGGGGGCGGGCAGGCACCTGAGGCCTACGCAGACCAGGAGCCCCCGGGGAGGGAGCTCAGGGGGGAAAGATGTGGGCTGGCAACCAGGCCAAACACCTCAGAACCCGATTCCCAAAATGATGATGATGGTGATGCTATGCGATGGTGGGATGGTGGTGGTGATGATGATGACGGTGGCAGTGGCGGTGGCGATGGGGTGATGGGTGCCAGGCAACGTGCTCCGCGGTATTTTCCCATTATCCCACTTGACCATGTAACACTGTGAGGCAGGCACTGTTATCCCGGCCTCATGGATGACGCAGCTGAGGCCTGGACGGGTGAAGTCACTTCCCAAGGTTGTGGCACTAGGAAGGGGAGGCACGGGAGGGGCCGCAGGAGCAGCCGGGGTGCTGCTTGAGTCACCAGCCACACGGACACTAAGGCCAGCCAAGGCACTGTCGCCTAGGTACAGAGTTTAGACTACAGGCAAAGCCCTGAGTCTGGTGGGGGGCTAAGGGGTGCAGGAGCTAAGAGATGTCTTAGGTTACAACTGTGCTGAGGCATCGGGAACCTTGGTCTTAGCAGAAGTTGGGGTCTCCACCCCATCCTTCCATCCCAAGTTCACAGTGCCCTGGCAGGCTGCACCTGTGGAAGGGCCGAGGTGCTACGTTTTCCACCTGCATCGACAAACTCCAGATGCAAAGCCAGTCCCGCTAGGCCATGGCTTGTCCGGCCACTTCCTGATGATTCAGCCTCATCTGGATGCGGGAAGTGCCACCCTGAAATCTGCTGGGCATTCGGGCATCCCTTCTTGCTGTACTTTTAAAAGGACCTTTGCTCTCTGTGAGCCACCCAGCCTTCTCTGGACAACATCCCTGGTTCACTAGGCAGGTTCTTAGGGTCCTGCACTTCCCCAGCCTTCCGACAGCTGAACAGGCAGGACGAAAACAAATCTATGTCAGATTGCCTCTCCGGGCCATTAGGAACTAGATCAGTGAGGTAGGAGGTTGGGTTCAGGGGTTTAGCGAGGCCGTCCCCAAACACCTGGGGGCTGTGTAGCATCTTCCATCTCCTCTGTGTGCTGAGAAGTCCAGACATCTGGTCTGTAGAGCAGGAAGGGGGAACAGCAGACTACAGAGGGCAGGACAGACACAGTGAAGGAGAGACTTGGCCGTGGCTTGGCATTGGCTCTGGAGGAGATGAAAGCCCTGGTCAGAGAAGCTGTGGGCAAGCGTTGTCAGCTCCCCAGGAAAAAGCAGCTGGCCAGGGGGTCCAGCCTTGACTGACACAGCCGAGGATAGGTGTTGACTCAGGTCCAAAATGGTCCCCGCAAAGGCTCACTGTGTTGGAGTCTTGGTTGCCAGGTGACAGACTTCGGGGAAGCAATTGGCTCAAGAGGGTTCTAACTTCATCAAATGGCTCAATCCATTGGTGAGCTCACTAGTGAATGGACTTAGGAGGCAGGGCCTAACTGGGTGAAGCAGGTCCCTAGGGAGCTCTGAAGGGTATATTTTGTCCCTGTCCCTTCCTCTCTCTCTCTCTCTCCCTCCTTCCTGGTTGCCATGGGGAGGCATGCCCTCCTCGTGCCATGACACTGCCTCACCTCAGGCCCAGAAACAATGGAGCCAGCTGACTATGGTTTAGAACTTCTGCAACTATGACAGCCAAAATACAATCTTTTCCCCTGAAGTTGTTTTTCTCAGGTACTTTGTCACAGCAACAGAAAGCTAACTAACACAACGGGGTCAAGCATGTGACCCTAAGGGAGCAAAGTGGGAGATGACATCTGGCGGGGAACCATAATCCTATGTGCAGCAAATCATCCAAATGGGCCACCAAGGGCCTGAGCCCAGGAGACACACCCAGTACAAGGACGGATCCAGGGAGACCAGAGCTCAAGGAATGAGGAGTGATCAGGCATCCCGGCCTCAGCCACAACAGGGTGGGTATGGCCAGGTCCTCTGTATCACCCTGAGCTCAGCTGTGCACACAGCTGCAGCACAGCTGAGGGGACTCTTGCTCCAGAGCCAGGCCTAATTCCCTCCAGTACTGTTGGGGCTCAGAGCCACCTTGTGCCCTGGCAAATCTGGGGCATCAACCCAACCCTTTGATCCTAGGAAGGGAACACGCATCTTTAAAAGTGTTTCAGGAGTAGCAGGCCTGGTTGTCACTGTCAGGCATCTACTTTCCTGGTGTCCCTGAGGGCGGTGGCTGGTTCCACCAGATGAGGCCAACAGGAAATCCCTTCACATGGAGCAGAGATTGCTTCACCCAACCACCTCAACCCCTGCTGCCGTGGGGCCAACTGCCTACGGTGCCCTTTAGAGGCCAACCTGTGCCAGCGCCACCCTGGGGGCTACAGGGGCTAGGGGGACGGTGCCTTCACCCCAGTCTGTCTGCCCACAGGGACTGAACTTCCACCTGGGGAGATTTTCTTCCCTTGCCTAGCCTTAGCGCCTGCATGGTTTTCTTGCTGGTGAGAAGCACCTACAAAGGGAATTCTTAATTAATCCCCACCCTGGATCCTCCGAGGAGCAGCCCCACCTTGTGCTTCCACGGCACACTGCAGGGCTGAGCTCAGAAGCCGAGGCTCTGCAGGGGGCTGAGCACAGGCAGCCCCGTCCCAGGGCCTCCTGCCTGCCGGCCCAGCCTTTGCTGCACAAGTACACCAGGGACTCAAGAGCACAGGACGCGTCACAGGGCCCTCCTCTACGCCTCCCACCGGAGACTCCTGGAGACCCCAAATGTTCCTGGGCCCCCTCTCCCATCCGGGACACGACTCAGAGCTCACAGGCCCCTCAGGTCCCAGGACCCCCCATGGGCTTACAAGGGTCCTCTTCACCAAATGCCCTTGGATCTTAGCTGCCACCTCCTCCAGAAGCCAGCCCTGAACCTGCAGCTCACACAGTTCTCCCTGCTGGGTGACCGCTGTGCCCTTCCAACCACGCCAGGGCTCCCTGTGCAGCTAGCTCGACTCTGACCAGGTCCCTGCAAGACAGGACCCTTCCGCTTCAGAGAAGCCTATGCGCTGTCCCCTCCCCTTCCCTGTCCCACTTGAGGGGGTTCCTCTGTCAGAGGGTCTGAGTCCCCTTCCCTCCTACCTAGTCTTTCCACCACCCCTGTCACAGTCCGATCTCACCGCAGAGACACTTCCGTGGGGCTGGCACTGCCATACTAGTGACGCTAAAATGGATGGCTGAGCACTTTGTAATGAACTACTCTGCTCCTTAAAAACGGGTCAGCAGTCATCTCTGATGATGTCTTCTTCTAAAAAATACAGGGGTTGGCGCCTCTGCAATGGTCCATGCTCCAGTGGAGCCGATGTGGGTGCTTTTTTTAATCCTTTTTTGAGCCAGGGTCTTGCTCTGTAGTTTAGGCTGGTCTTGGACTTAGTAGGCAGCCCAGGTTGGCTTCAAACTCATGGTGATCCTTGCCTTAGCCTCCAAGGGCTGAGACTGCAGGCATATGCCGCCACACCTGGCGATGTGGGTGCTCCTGCTGCTGGCCACTGTGGGGGGCACACTGGGCACATGTGGCCTGGATCTGGCTGACAGTGAACAACCACCTTCAAGCCCTGGCACAGACACGTCCATGTGTATAATCGGGGAAGGTGAACTCACAAGACAGGGCCAAATCAACACAGCCAGGAACTTTCTTGCCTGCCTGTTTGTGGTGGCACTGACAGTGATGAGAGCCGTGTCTCCCTGCTGTTCACCTTGGTGCATCCTGCTCTGTTTCTCTGCCAGGCCTGAGCCAAGCTTTTACTAGGACAGGGCCTGGTTCCCCGAAGGCCAGGCTCCTCTGCCTCAGAGCTGCAAGAGGACCTAGCAAGGCCTCTGCCTCTCTTGTTCTCGGTCCCGAGTGAGCCTGGCCCTCTCTTGAACCTATAACCTGGGTGCACCCCTTTATCTGTCTGAGCGGCTGGGACAATACAGAGAAAGCTGGGGTCGTGTAGTAGCTGAGCAGGGAGGTCTTTCTAGGCAGACGCTGGGCCCCGCGCCCAGAGGTGATACCCAGGGAGCCTCTCCCCTTCAAAGAGCAGGCACAGATGGAGCACAGGGAGGCTGCCCAAAGGACAAACATAAAGGAGACCCAGGAGGCAACATGACGGTGCCTCAACTGCGAGCGAAAAGCATGGAACAAGCGGCGATTCCCTCCACTGCTCCTGCAGAGTCTGCAGGAGAGGCCGGAATGCGCACGGGCTTTCTAGGGAATAGACCCTCAGGGAACAGGAGCAGAGATGGGTGCACGACCGTAAGCTGGGGGCAGGTGGCACTGGACAGTCAGGCCCGCATGGGCACGAGTCCTCACTGGCGCCTCTGACATCTGGTGAAGCAGTGGCCTTCTGTCCTGCCCATCCAGGAGGCCATGGGCCAAGAGCTAAGTCCCCCAGACGATGAGAAGCAGGACACCCTCTCTGCAGGGCAGTTCGAGAGCTGCTGGAGGCAGGGCTGGGCAGCTGCACTGTGAGCCACCGGGAAGCCACCCTCAGAGATTCCCACCCACAGAGCACCCGCGGCAGACACTCAGATGGAAGCGATCGAGACGCTGTGAAATGCAGCTCCGTATTCATGCACTGCACACAGCACTGCCCCCTTGGAATTCACCCTCCGCCTCCCTCCTAGTGGAAGCTCAGGCATGGCAACTTCATGGGAACCGTACAGACTACACCCTCAGCGAGTCGCATGCTATCTGGCAGGGAGCAGCTGCTTAACCAATAGCTACCACGTGAGCAAATGCATGAATGAGCAGATGAAGGAACCAACAAGGGAAAGAAAGAAAGAAAGAATGGATGAACAGGACCAGGTGGATGAGGATGAGCAGGTCCCACAGTGGCTGCTAGTCCCGACCTCGGCACTGGCTGGAGTGGCCCATTTTCTGTCCTCTCAGCGGCCTGTGGCCAGGGGTGACACTGGCTTGCCTGCAGCCCTCTTCCTCAGGGCATCCCCAGGAGTCCCCTAACTGGGCTGGGAGCTCCAGAGTCTGACCCCCTTCCCACTGTTCGGCGGCCCCAGAGCAAGAGCAGCCAGGCCCGTGTGCTGAGCTCCCCAGGGGGAACAGAGCAAACGTCTCTGCAGAAGTCCCGGGATGAGGGCGGGCCCCCAGCCACCACCTTGACTTTCACTGACAGGCTGATTGGCTGACTGGGGCCGGGCCCTGTAGCGATGTCACTGCTGGCCCTCGGGCTGAGGCAGGGGGCAATGAAGAGAGCGCTTGGTGCCGGAAGAGTGTGGACTTGGGTCAGCGCTGCCCCTGTGAGATGAGTGTGAAGCAGGCAAGTCACTTGGGCGGAGCCCTGCTGTCCTCGCATATGAGATGAAGACAATATGCAAGGCTGAGGTGGAGGCACCGGGAGTCCATGCATGCACGGGCTGGGCCCAGACTGACCCTGGCACACAGGAAGTGCTCAGCACAGACATCTGATCACCCGTGAGAGGGGGCTTCAGGGAACCAACCTCCTTCCTGGTCACCATGGTCGTGGGGACAGCAGCTGCGGCACCGTGGGGGCGTGAGTGTGCGCGCGCGCGTGTGTACGTGTGTGTAGTGCATCACTGAGTGTGTGCACGTGTGCATGTGAGAGGTGCCTGTGACTATGCAGGCATGTGCAGTGCACACGGAGACACGTTTAACTGTGAGTGCACGAGGGTGCATATCGGCAGTGTGACTGAGTGTGTGCAGTTGTACACATGTGCACATGTGCGTGCGACCACGTAACCAAATGTGAGGGTGCAGCTATGCATGTGTAACTGAGTGCCAGAGCACGCAGCAGAGAGCATGATTCACATGTGAGTGTGACCATGAGCGCGTGTGTGCGCGTGTGCATGTGTGAATGAGTGTGCATCTTGTGTGTAGGCACTGTGAGGGTAGCTATGAGTGTGCACAGGTGTGTGACATGTGTGAGAGCATGGGTAACTATGTAACGGGCCCCTGGACCCCGGTGCAGGCCCCATCCTGAAGGACGGTGCACCTGCGTCCTGTGACACTCTTCGTCACTGGGTTTCCTTGTACCTATCCTCAGACCTTGAGTCACCAAGATGTCCTTCTCTCCTGGTGCCGCAGCTGTGGGTCACCCCTTCGCGGCACCCCTGTCTTCCCAAGCCCTGATGCTGGCCCACGAACACGTGTGACAGGTGAACTCCTGAGTGGGAGGCTGTGTGCCGGCAGCACAGTCAAGCCATGGGCCAAGGGAGCCCGGGGAGGCGTGGCAGGGGTGATCAAGTCCTGTGCCACCAGTCCCCAGCAGGGTGGTGTTCAAGAAGCTCCGAGTGCGCGTGCGATACCCTTATAGACCACCAGGAGGAGCCACATGCCCATCTCAAGAACAGGTGAAGCTCCAGCTCCTGGTTTCCAGAAGCCACACTGCAGAGCCAGTCGGCTCCCAGGTCTGTTCCAGGGCTGGGCTGAAGGAGGCGCTGTTGAGCTAACCCAAGGGCCAGAGAAGCGGGGCTGCCCACAGCACGGAGGCCAGGCCACGCATGTTCCTACTGCTGTTGCCCGCTGCTGAGGAGCCACAGGACTGCCCCCTGAGGCTGGTGGCCAGAGCCTGCCTCCAGCTCCTTGGGCCCTGAGACCTCCCATGGGAGGAGGCCTCGCTGAGGCCACACTCACCTTTCCAGCCCTGAAGACATCTCTTCACTAAACTCTGAGCTCTCACTACTGCCTGGAAAAGGAACACAGATCAGTGAGCACAGTGGCTTTGCACAGAGGGGCCTGTTCTCCTGTGCTCCTGGGTCACTGGGCTTAGGCCCCTGAGCTCACAGCTTCCAAACATGACTCAAATTTTTGCCACTGTTTCTAACTCTGCTCTGGGACTGTAAAAAAAAAAAAAAAAAAAAAAAAATCCTGTCCCACCATTCCCAAGGAATCCTCTACACCCTTCCCATTACCTGCTCGCTGGTCTATTGGGCCTGGATCCTTAGGCCTGTTTGACCTACGCCTGATGTGGCTTCACTACTGCCCCCTACTGGCCCAGGGGAAGTTAGGCTGGAACACACCTCACCTTCCGCAGGCCTGGCTGGACTAGGCCCTGGTCTCAGGGCCGCGGCCTCACTGGACAGAAGGCTCAAGTAGCGTCCCTGCACAGCCTCGGTCCAGAGAGACTCAGACAAGGCTGGGCCAGGCCCCTTGCCACCTGCTTCTCGGGGCTCCCCAAAGCTTCTCCAAGGAGATTTTTCCCCTGTCACTCAAGCATCCATGTGCTTTCCCTCTGTACTGTCTCAGGCCTCAGAGACTAAGCTTCAGGGCAGTTCGCCTGCAATAAAAGCAGGGCTGAGCAGAAGGGAGGGGTACAGAGGAGCCTCGGGTCCTTGGATAATCTGAGCAGTGGCCCTCCTTACGGGGTGTTGGGGACAGACCAGTCTGGCTCCAGACAGGGTGTGTACACATCCGGCCACTCACTTGGGACTTTCATCCCCAAGCAGAAAAACATCTGAATTTCCTGACTGGAAGAGCCAGAAGTAAACAACCCTGCAATCTGCACCTGGACACTGGACGGCACAGCACCTGACCTGTTTTCTGTCTCAGGAACCACAGGCCTGGACTCAAAGCTTTCTGGACGTCACACAGCTGCTCTGAGCCCAGCCAGGCACTCTAGGGCCTGTATTTTCCAGAGCGCATGCCTCAGAATCCCAATCCTGTTGCATACTCCAAAGGAAAGGGGTCCATGGGTGAAGCCTGGGGAGCCCCACAGCCTCGGAGGATTCACAGCACAGCAAAGTCTCGGGGAGGAAGCCTCTACACCTCTGTTCCACCTTCCCTCTCCCCAACATGTGGGGCCCGGCACACCCTTCCAGGCTCCTGTGAGCCCCGGGAGGCCTGCACAGTCCTACACTCCTGCTTGTGTCCACACAGGATGGCCCCGAGGACAGAAGGCCGGCATCACAGGTGCCTGCCGCAGACTTTGACAGGGTGGGAGTGGCTGCCCCCTGGCTGAGCGCCCACAGTCTCTGAGACTGGGACCTGAGATTTGGCCTGTTGTCCTCCTGCCCACCTCCCCATGCTCCTGGCCTTCCACCCTACAGGCCTCCTCAGGTCCAACTCAGCACGGCACCTGCCTGTCCACACCTGGCCGGGACGAGACCCTGCTACGGGAAGCGGACAGACACAGACACGCCAACAGAAGCACGGGCACACGGGGAGGCGAGGGCCAGCACAGGGACACCGGTCTGACGGCAGTAGTAATAAAAGGGTGTCCACCTGGCCTCAGCCGACCCGGAGATGCAGGGGGCAGATCTGGAACCACAGCGCAGGGCTGGCTGGCCTCAGCCCTAACTTCAGCAACTCCCGCCTCAGCCTCAGCCAAACTGCCGTTCCTTCCCTGGACACAAGCACTCTCTCTAGCTGAAACTCAGTGAGGTCATTTCAGTCCTCAACATTGCACTTTCATCCTCTCCCCTCTGGCTTCACAGCCTAAAGACAGCACACAGTTGAGACCCAGTGGCCACCATTACTGTGCCAAGAAGCTTTCCTTGCTCTGCACTGTGGGGTCCTGGGGCCGAGGGTTCCTCTGGGGCAAGCAGTACCACGGTGGCAGCAGCTGGGCTCTGGGGGCTCATTTGGACCCAGTGTGTGTCTGGCTGCCTCTTCCTCTGCCTAAAACACTCGGGCTACAAACCTGGGTCTTCCTGATTGCCAGACACCTAGGAAGCGAAGGCTTCCCGGCTCACCTGCAGGGAGCCACCTCTTTAGGGGCAAGGGGCCGCTGGGTCCCCCAGGGCGATAGTGCCGCTGGGTGTGGCACAGTGACAGACAGACACAGAGCACATGCTGAGCCTTGGCCCCCTGTCTGCAGCGTGCAGGCCGGAGGCGCTTACCTAGGGAGAGTCCATTGGTGACGGTGGAGGAGGTGAGGGCGAGGCCCCTGCGGGGACTGCGCGACTCTAGGACGCTGTCGTCCAGAAGGTGCCTGGCTTTCTCCGATGGAAATGTCGCACTTTTACTCTCAACTACACTCAACTGACACATCATACTGGAAACGGAAAGGAAGAAAGAAGGCACAGCTCCGAATCCATGGGGCAATAGCGGCTGCACCTGCGGGATGCAGGTGTCCAGGCCGTGCCCTCTTGAGGTGTGACCTTGAGCCAGTCACATCCTTTTGTGGAGCCTCCGTTTCTCCACACGTCCACGGGGGATAACGTTGCCAGCCCCGCCTGCTCCCAGGATGAAGGTGAGGATTGTGAGGACTGAGGCTGCGGCAGTTCTGGAGCGACGCGCCTGGTCCCGTCCTGGCTCCCAGGCCTCCTCACCATTGCAAGGGCCTCGCTCTTATACCGAGTATGTAATGCTGCACCTCTGAGGCCCACGCGCCCCCAGTGAGCTTCTGCCCCGCGGGCGCGTGGCGCAGCAGGCAGAGGGAGGGGTGCTGAGGACTCAGAGAGGGGCTCTCCTTCTGCCTGCGGACTCCTAGGGCCAACCCGGGCAGGGTAGGGGAGGCTTAGAGGTGGAAAGCAAGCAGGCACAGAGGAAGGAGGGAGGGAGAGACGGACCCGTCTGTTCGGGAGTCTGTGCCGGCTGCCCCCAGTCATACTGAGATCTACGCGTCCCCAGCTGTGGGCCCCACAGCTTCGCTGCTGTGCAGACAGAGGCCACGAGACACCCAACACTGCCCTGAGTAGTCACTGGCGCCCACTGGACTTTGGGTTTCTCCATAAGGGACACTAACAGAGCGGGCACTGTTGCAGGAATCCCTCTCTTGCTTCCCCGCCCTCTCCTTCATCCCTTCTCCATTAGCTGCAGAACCAGGGGTCTCGGTGCCACCAGTGCCCCGCAGCGATGCCTGAGCGCATGCCATTCTCAGGACAGTGCGCCAGCCAGGGGCACCAAGAGCTCCCAGGGTGGGGTATGGGAGGAGCCCAGCCATGGGTGAGGATTCCCCAGCATTTCTTTATTCATGCCCAGGCCAGGCCGGGAGCCCCGGGGGGCTGCTCAGTCACCCACTTGTTGCCCAGGCTGTGACTCTTCCTGTGTCGAGGGACTGGTGGCGTGGGGAGGCTGCCGGCCACGGATGCATCAGGGCAGGTGGGTCTCCGGCGGAAGCGCGCTGAGCTGGAGCCCACAGAGGGACCTGCTAAGAGAGCAAAAGAGAAGAGATGGAACAGAGCAGGGGTTGTAGGGGTGCGGGTGGGACAGGCTCGGGGTTCGGGCTCAGACCCCGCCTGGCTGGCACAGGCGGAACCAGGTGTGAACGAGCACATAGCTCTCTGCTCATCAGACAGCCCCTCCACTTTCCCACGGCAGCCGTTCTCAAGGCTGGCAGCCACCGGCGGGTGACCGGGACCTGTTCCGCAAGGGCCCCGTGGTCGTGCAGGCCCACTGGCCAGCTGGAATCTCAATTCCTGCTTCAGGTGGCATCTGGAAAGCAGGATCTCATAGACTAATCGGCAGGGACACAGCCAGAGAGGCACCACCCTGAAGCAAAGTTCCTCGGCCAGGACTTTATGAACCCAGGAGTGGCTGTGAGATGCACCTGTGCTTTCCTCCGTGCGCATTTCCCTCACACAGCGGAAAGCTTCTCTAGGCTCTTATCACAGGAACTGTCAGCACCACCTGCAGAGTGCAGGCCACTCTGGTGATTCTGGCTGGGTTGGCAGCTGGGGGCTTGGGCAGCTCATCCTGCACAATCTTGGCAGGTGATCCCCGAGGTGCCCCTGGGAAGATCTTCTGCTCTAGAGGTTGGGGCACAGGCGGCACTGACCCGGGGAAGCAGCTCATGCAGCTGCTCTAGAGGGGGAAAGGAAGAATGAAAACCATCCTGCTTTGTTTTGGTTTTGCACTATTGCAGGGGAAGAATCCACAGGGTGGAACCCGCCTTGTTTATCAGCAGCCACGTGAGAGGATTACAGTCCCACTGCCTGAGTCACTGGGCTCCCACCCTGGTGCAGAGAAGCTATTTCTAAAGGTCAGATTGCACTGCTCCGCCCCATGTGGTTTGAAGTAGAAACCCAGGGATTCCGGTGTTGGAGCAGAAATGATTAGGGCTCAACAATGCACACTTGGCGCTCACGTTTTGCCCTTGCTGTAACGCTACAGGCCGGCACTCCCAGGAGGCCCGTTCTGTGAGAGGCCGGCTTACAGATGTTCCGCACGCTGGAGGCAGGTGTGCAGGGCGGAACCTAGCGACTCAGGGCTCAGACCCAACACGAGGGAAGGGGCGCGGAGAGACCATAGGCGTGGGATCAGGAGACACTTCCTGTGGGAAGTCTGCAGCAGACCGGTTCCAACTGCTACCTCTGAGAAAGGGAAGGAGAGCGGACCTAACCACTGTGACCAGGCTGGTAAAACGCTCCCAAGTCTCATCTGTGCAGTTAGTACTTCCTCACGGCCACTTCAGAGGGAGGCTCGGGCACACCAGGGCCGCACAGCCAGAGGGTGCTGCCACCTCCTCCACTGGCAGCTCCAAGGCCCACTCCCTGCTGCGACCCTCTTCCCGCTTGTCTCCCAAGTGCAGCTGTCCTGCCTGCCCTCCGGCTCTGCTTCCCGCCTGGTCTCTTTCTTGAGTCCTCCATTCTCCCTCTCCTTTGTGCTTTGGACCCTTGGGAGGTCTGTGTGACCTCAGATGCTCCTGGGCCAGCTGGTGGGAGCGGGTGGGGCCTCGGAGGAAGAGCCCTCGGCCCCCAGGGCCCAGTGTCAGAGCTGATGCCTCTCTCCCTGCCCTGGATCTAGCTAGGCCCCTCTCCCCGCCTTCTGCGTTGTTGACCAACAGCCTAGATCTGATGCAGGAGCAGAAGAATTTCCATTCAGCTGGGACCCAGATGATGGTCGTCTCTGCCAGTAAGTGACACCCTCTGCTACCGAAATGCCTCATGTTCCTGCCGGCCAAGCCTGGGGTGGCCTGCACGTGACAGTGCCAGGGACACGTGTCTTCTGGGGCTGTGTCTGAACTGGGTGGCTGGCAAGTCTGTCATGTCCTGGGGCTGGGGCAGGGGCAGGGTGGGTGGGGTGGTGCTCATGTGCTGGGCCCTGGCCAGAGTGCAGTCCCCGCTGCCCGCCTGATATGGCACGGACAGCTGGAAAAACTGACCATGGGGCCTGACTATCTCAGTGGATTGCTCTATTTTTCCTCAGCATAATTTTTCCATGAATAATCTTTAAAGCTCTTTAAGTGGCTGTTTCTTTAGCAGTTTTATTGGAACATATGAGAACTGATGGTCTCTGTGGGGAACGAGATATGTTGAAAAAAAATCTGGTTTTCGTTACCTTTCTCTCAAGAAACCCACATACTGACCGATAGATCACTCATTGATGGAAGGGAATAGAGCACAGGGCCTTCTAATAATGGTCTCGTAGTGCTCTGGATTCAGCCCCATGAATGCGGACAGCAAAGAACCCCAGTTCTGGAGGCGGACAGGCCCAGTTCACCCACGTCCGCACCTGCGGGCTAGGCCGAGCGGCCCCAGAAAGGGGTCAAATTCTCAGCCCCAAGTCTGCCTCTGCAGAACAGGCACAGGTGAGAAGCCAGCCACTCAGTTTTCCATCCTCCTCCTGCCTCAAAGGTTTACTGAGCCCTGACCCAAGGGGCTCGTACTGGTGCTGGAGCCGCAGTCTGTCTTCACAGGGTTGACAGTCAGGTGAGGGAGAGAGCAGCCAGGTATCTGCTCCCAGGAGAGACACAAGCCTTGACAGGAGGGTGACATTAATCAATACGGCAAGAGCCCCGCTGCATCAGTGGTGTGACCCCCGGTACCGACGGTGATGGTGAGTGCTAACCTTTAGGGGCAGCTTAGTCCTCATGATCTTAGTTCAGCCTCCCACAACACCACTATGCAGGAACGGTGGCTATTTCAGCTTCACATGTGGAACTTGTGGTTGCAAAATTCAAGAACTTGCTCCAGTGAGCAGCCTCTGAGCGGGATAGCTCTGAGCACAGAGCCTCTCAGAGCCCAGGGGAAGGGACTTCTGGGGCGGCTGATGTCCTGCCTGGTGCGAGAGCTCCAGCACGGGCAGCGATGGGCAGGAAGAGCTTGTGCAGGCTGAGAGGCCGCTGAGGAGCCTGGAGTTTGGGGAGGGGCCGGCACCGTGATGTGCTTGGATGGGCACCCTGGGACGCTCCCTGTGGCTAGGGAGCAACTGGATGTGGCCAAGACTTGAGCCCACGGGCTGGGTGCATGACGAGTGTCCAGGAGGCAGTGCTGGCAGGGGGTGCATGGAGCGGACTCCGTTCCCACGGATTTCTGCTGCCTCTGAGCTTTGCCCTGGGCCAGCACTGCCTTGATTCAGTCCGCTCCCGGGGAACAGAGCTTGCATATCAGAAATGAATGGCAGGCAGCTGTGGCAGAGGGGAAACTGCCCCACTGGGACTCATAAAACTTGAATCCCAGTCCTGCCTCTGCCTGGGCTGAGGGAGGGGCTCCGGGTCTGTCCGCTCCTCCCGAGAGTGCATCTCCTCTTTGGTGGGATGAGAAGGGTGCGACAGTCGTGCCGCCTGAGCCTCTGCCACACAAGGTGGGCTTTTGCTCAATGAAGGGCTCAGCTTCCTGCATTTCCTGCCTGCCCATGCGGGGAGCCCTGTTCCCAGGCTTGGATACTTGGACCCTTCTGGGCCTACCAGAGTCCTGTGACTCTCAGGGACACAGGGGCGGGGGTGAGGTGGGTTCGGCACAAAAAGTCCGTTCATGCTGAAACCCTTCGCAGTTCGCTTTTGCTGGGAGCTGGGCGTCAGTCACTTTTACGTTCACACACATTCTTTGTTTCTCACATGTGCAGCTCTCATAGGTTCTCTGCCAGCCAAGATCCGACTCCTCACAGAGGCTACGGCTCATTTCCTTCTGAAAAATGGCACCCAGTTGTCCTTTGACTGGGCCACGGGCGCCATGCATTCTCCTCACAGCTGGAGGTACAGGCTCCCAGGCCCCAGGGAGCTGGGGAACTGAGGATCTATGAGGAGTAAGGCCCTGGAGGAGCTCATGGAGGCCTCTCACCGGGCTGAAGACAGAAAAGGCCCTCCTCCCCCTCTGCTAGCTATGGCTGCTCTCTTCCTCATCAAACAGAGGCCAGTTTGGGTCTTGAAGGAATCTGCACGGTGGCAGACCCAGGGGACTTCTGGCGTCTCACTCAGGCCTGGGGATGACAAGATGTACACAGCCAGAGGACAAGAGTCAGCTGCACTCATGGATCTGTGGGACCAGGGCAGGTAAGGCCTCCATGAAAGTAGGTGGCCCCTGTGAAATCTGGCTTGGGGTCGAGGGCTCAAGGGGGTCTGAGCAGTGGTAGCGATGGACTTTGAGGGTTTTCAGAAGAGGCCGCAAAGGTCCCGGGAATGTGCCTGCATCTGCTGGGCTGAGGACTTGCAGAAAGTCTGGAGCACCAGCCCAGGAGAGGGAGCATCGCGGTACTGACTGCCAACCGGAAGGCGCTGTGCCCAAGATAGCAGCAACCACTATGACTGTGCCCTGCCCCGGGCTGTGGCCAGCAAGTCAGGGACAAGGAGAAACGCTGAGGGAGCATGAAGGCCAGGTCTGCTCTCTCACCACAAGCAGCCAGACCGAGGCCCCCGAAAGGGTGAGGTGAGGCGATTTGGCACAGATCAGGTTTGGAGTTTTGCTTCTTACCAGGATCTAGCGCCTGGGGACCAGTGGGGACAGTGGGTGACTCAAAGTGTCTGCAGGAGAGGCAGGACATGCCAGGGACGTCATTCAGGGAAGATGCTAACGTGCGCTGCATAGGTGCACTGGGCAACCAGGAGAGGGCACAGAATGCTCTTGGCCCTACTGGCCCCACCTTGCTCCTTGTGTTGGAGGCAGGCAGTGTACCTATCCACATCCCTGTGTTCAGCAACCAGCTCTGCTACTTCCTTCCTGCATGAGGCTGGGCAAGTGCCCGGGGCTCGGCAGGGCCCACCTCACAAGGTGGGTGTCAGGTCCCAGAGGAGGCCGAAGCAGTCTTGGGATGGTGCTCAGCAGAGGTTGCTTTGCTGCGGAGGAGGAGGAAGAGGATGGTGAAACAGCACCTCTCAGCCTCTGTTTTCCTCCTGTGAAGTGGCTGGAGTGTCCCTATTAAACAGTGCCCACAAAGTCCCTCCTACTGGGCTGAGCGGTAGGGCCTCTGCCCTCTGTCTTTGGACCAGGGCTGGCCCCTGTGGCTGCCTGACTCTCTGAGGGAGGCCAAGGTAAGGCTGTGTGGCTTTGAAGGCTGGCTCACAGAGATGCTGCAACATAGCTTCGTCCTCGTCCTCCTGGGACATTGGCTCCGGGGGACAGCTAGCTGCCGTGGAGGAGCCTGATAATCCGGAGGTGGCCATACCGTGAGGAAGCCCAGGCCACACACAGAGACCACGGGTACGTGTTCTGCTGCCACTGAAGCCGCTGCCACTGAAGCCACTGCCCCAGCCAGCAGCAAGCACCAGACATGTGAGTGAAGATATCGCCAGCTCTAGCCCTGTGTGACCCCCAGAATATACGCATGTCAAAAACAGCTGCTATGTGTCCCTTGGTTCTGGGGTGGCCGGCGACGAAGCAGCACTACTGCCATCGCTGCTGAGTACCTGAGTAGGAGCCCGGAGAGGCCCTCAGGCTCCCTGTCCAGTGCCCAGGCGGCTGCCTCACCCTGTCCCCCATCTGAACGGCATCAGAGACTGCTGGGAGGGTCCGGAGCTAAGCTGCAAGAGGCCAGGAGCGCAAACCCTCGAGCGCGACTCCTGGCGCTGCCTCAGGGAATACTGGCCTGGGTTGAGGGTCTGCAGAAAATGTTGCTGTTCACAAGGAAACTGAGGTTTCGAAGGATCAGACTCACTGCCCGGGGTTGTGCAACTGGAGCTGCGTTGAAGCTGGGCTCTGAACCCAGGTCTGCCTGACTCAGAGCAGGACTCTTGCTACCAGTCAATAAAAACAAGGAGATAGCAAAGTGTGTCTGAGGGCTGTTCTCAGAGCACCGTGCAGAGAGAAGAGGCCGGGGCTGGGTATTTCCTGGACTTGAGTTACCGCCCAGAAATCTCACAGGAACCCTGTTCACTGGGGAAGCCCGGAGGTGGCAGGGCTGGCGCAATCTGGAAATGTCTTCACCAGTTCAAGGCACACCGCGAACATTACTTGCCCTCCAGGGGTCATCGTTCTGAATGGTTTTTCTCTCCAGGAAAATATTAGTTCACTCATAAAAGCTAAATATTACATGGAGGAGGGGGCTGAAAACGTGGCATTACTGGGCTTTTTCCTCCCTATGTTCAGAAGCCGAGGTGTCTCCACTTCGTTTCTCACAGTGTATTTTGTTAGGGGCAAACCTGCCTGCGTGGTCATTCTCCAGGTGGAAGACGGGGGCAGCTCTCAGCGGAGTGCAGGGCCTAACCCAGAGGCCAGCACAGCCACACTTGGACTCCACCTCCGATGTTAATCAAGACCCCAGAGAGGTTCAAGACCATGAGACCACAGCGGCTATCAGTGTCAAGGGCAAGGTCCCTTGGTCCCGGAGGCAGGGGAGCTGGACAGAGGAGAGTCAGAGTCCCCTGGCCATCTCGATTTGCTCACACTGGCCTCCTTCTGGCTCTGCACGCGCCAGTCCTCCCCTCATGGCACTTGCTGCCTGCCTCTCCCTCTGTGAGACGCATGGTCCAAGAGGCTGGAGTCTTGCCTTACTTGTGCTGGGCACCTGGATCCTTGCAAGTGCTTGGCCCGTGCTGGCCTGTGGCATGTACGCCTTGAGGGAACAAAGGAGCACACTGCAGGGCTCTTCCCCGGCAAGTGTGTGGCTGAGGAAAGAGCCCCAAGCTTAAACCTCCTTCCTGAGGGGTGAGGGAGGCTGCGTTCCTCCCATTCCTGGGACTGCAAGAGGCACATTCCTGTCCCTGACTCTGGTTGGGCTCTTACCACGTGGCTCAGTCTAACTGCCAGACCCTGGAAGGCCTCCCTGGAGCAGTCCCTCTGCACCTGCCCTCTAGAGTACCCGTGGTGACCCCAGGCTGCAGCAGCACCCACCTCTCTGTCCTGTGGGGCTGCAAGCAGGAAGCCAGAGCCACTGAAGGTGTCTGATCTCTCCAAACACTCTCCAGACTTCTGGCCATCCATGCAAATCTTAACATCCTGCTTGCAGGGCTGAAGCCAGGGATTTGAAAATTGGTGGAAAACTCTCCTGGGAGTGGGGGCTCACTCTGCTGTGTAGGAAACTGCTGGCATCGGCACTTCTCCTGAGGGCTGTGCAGAGTCAGCAGTCAGCCCATGCCGGAGCTGCCTCCGAGAACAGGTGCCCACAGTGCCCAGAAAGGCTCAGGGGCCAGGGCCAAAGGGCAAGGCAGGTGTCCGCAGGCTTTTGTCCAGGGCCGTACACACTGGGCTCTAGGAATTCCCCACTGGGCCCATCCCTCAGGGGCCTTTATTTTGGTAGAGAAGACAGACACGAGGCACATGAGCATGCAGCAAACCGGAGGGAAGTGCCACACAGGCAGAAGCGGCACAGAGCACCAGTGGCAGGACGCTGGCACACAGGGGTCAGCACATCTCCGTGAGATGCCTGGCAGTACGAACTTGGGGCTTTGCAGGCCCGAGTCTTCATCCCAACCACTCAACCCCACCTCTGCCGTGTGAAAGCGCACACAGGCAGTGTGGCAGTGGGTGGCAGTGGTATGTTGGGTCCTGTACAGGAACAGGGTGGGCTGGGTGTGGCCCAGAGCTTGCCAGCCCCTGGCAGAGCTTTCTGGAGACAGTGCCAGTCAGAAACCTGAAGGCTGAGTCAGGGGCAGAGGCTGGATCACAAAACTGAGGACCACAGCACCATCACGACAAAGCTGTACCTGACGAAGGCACTCTGGGTCAGGCTCCAGAAGCTTCACCCAGGTGGCCTCGGTAAGTTCCCACAACAGCCCCACGATGAAGGTGTATGCTGTGCCCACTCTACAGATGGGTGTGCGTTACTGAGCATTTGCAAGGAGTAAGTTGCCTGGGGAGGGTTCTAGAGTGGGCCTGAGACGGGAAGGTGGAGACTGGACCAGTACTAGAAGCATTTCCTTGCTTCTGCGCCATCTGTCAGGAAGAGGCAGGGGTATGAAGGAGAAGGTAGAACATTGAGCTCAGGGAAGCCTTGTGGAAACCAAGCTGCTTGGCGCAAACTTGACACAAACAGCATCTCCTAAAGATCTCTGATCTCCTAAAGATCTGTATTTCCCTTTCCAAGTGACGAGAGGAGCCCCAGGGTGCCGGTGCAGGGTCCAGCTTGCAAGACATAGCTAGCAGAGATGGAAGACAGAGGCATGGAGTGAACCCGGGGCAGGGCAGAGGCTTTGAAGGGGTGGGGCTTACAGGAGGCTGCAGCACTGCCTCCCCCAGGGTCTGGGGTTCTCATCCGCCAGGACACATCCTCGCATGGCAGTTTGGAGAAAGGGGCTTGGGCAGACCCAGGTCAGCAGCTTGCCAGCCCTTCCAATCACTGCATGCCGGGCACCTTCCCATGGGCACTCATTTTTGACACTTTAACATTGTTGGGATGATGGTTTGATTATCCCCACTTTGTAGCTAAGGAAACCGAGGCCTGGGGTGGAAGGTAAAGCTGCAGGGGCCTAACCCAGGTTAGTGTGACCTGGAGCTCAAGCCAGGAGAAGGTGCCGTTGGACCCACCCCACCTCTCTGGAGCGGCAGTGGACATCAGCCCCGGTCTCTGAGAGCTGGCTGGACAACCAATAAAAAGGAAACGTGACGATAATAACAATGAAGCAGCCAGAACTGGACACACATTCACAACGCGCCCATGTGGACAGAGTGCTCTCCAGGCCTGAACTCACCAGGCATCCTGGCCACCCTGCAAGGGTCTAGCTCCACTCTGTAGATGAGGCACTTGAAGATCAGAGAGCTAGGAAATGGCAGAGCTTGGGCCTGATTGCAGAGCCTGGGTCCTTGTCCCTAGGGAATGTGTGTGTGTGTGTGTGTGTGTGTGTGTGTGTGTGTGTGTGCGCGCGTGTGCACTTCCCCAACAGATGAATAAATCCAGGAAGATGAGCTACTTGGATCTAGTGGTACCAAATATCCCTGGCATCCTGTGCATGTGCTGGTGAACAGAACCCTGAGTCCTACGCACTCCTGATGATAAGGGTCCTAGTGGCCTGAAGACCCTGGGGTTTGCTATACTTCCCTTTTGTTCCCAATTTGGGCTCTAACCTTGCCTGTCTTGGGGCTGTTCTGTCCCAGGCTGCTCCAGGGAGCCCCAGCACAGAGGTATCTTGTAGGAGTCCCACAAAGTTAGAAGCTGGCAGGTGGGCACGTGGGCATGGGAGGCTGTGAGCAGGGACAGGTGAGTGGCCGTTATTACAGACAGCTAGATTAGGTAAAAACACTATAAGCAGTCAGGCAGGGCTAGGCCCTGCAGAGAGTCAATACAAAAAAGAAAAACAAAATACAACCGTGGCCGGGGCGCATCTGTTAGAGGCCAGGCCTCAGGATGCTGTGCCCTTTGGCTCCATGGGCAAGGCCCACCCTGGTTTTGCTCCCACTGAGGTGGCTACAATACCTGCAAGATCTTCTTTGGAAGAGACTAGTCTTGGAGAGCTGCTTCCCGGTTCTATTCTGAGCGATAGTCTGAAAACAGAAATTGTCACAAGATCAGAGGGGCACTGGCTTATCACAGGGGAACCGACAGACACGTCATGGTCAGGGCTGGGAGATGGGTAGCTGGTAAGTGCTGCAGCAGTCACAGAATCCAGTAATGCTGGGGACCCACCCCAGTCACAGCTGCCTCCTTGGATGGCTGCAGGGGATTTTCATGCTGAAGAAACAATGGTGAAGGAAGACAAAAAGAATAAGCATAAATAAATAAATAAAGCGAGTGACCAGACCCATGGTTTACAGAGCAGGGTGTTAATTTGCCCAACAAGGCTATAAACTAGGTGCATTTCACAGATGAGGAGATGGAGGAATAGTGAGGTTAAGTAACTTAACTCCCTCTCTTAAATTCATATGGCTAGCAAGTGGCAGAGCAGGGTCGCTCTGATGCAAATAAAGATTTCATGGGCTGGACTGGGAACTGAGGGAAAGGGAGACCAGCTGCCAGCAAGATGAAGGAAATCTGGGTCCACGTACATGAAGCAGACTGCTTGCTTGCTGTGTCCACTGACTCGAGCTTTCTACTCCCCCAGGTTACAGAAGAAGGGAAATCTAAGAACCCCGGGGGCCCCTCTCCACACCTGGAAGATGGCCAGACGCCTCCCTCCCTGTATCAGAGCCATGGAGCATCCAGACAGGGCCTCCTAAGTGGGAGCCAGACAAAAGAAATGGCCCAGCAGCCCAGCACACCTCCTCTCCCCAAAGAAGACACAGAAAGGGAGTGAGGGCTTCGCCTGGGCCGGACCCGGGAGGTGGCCTGGTAACGGGAGAGTCCCCAGGTTTCGAGTGGAGGAACGACTTAGAGGAACGTGGGCCGAACACAAAAACCCTCAAAAGTGAGGTGACGAAACAAAGGGATAAAATGAAACAGAAGAGTGAGGTTGTGGTGGGGCAGGGGTGGGGCAGGGGGCACCCCCAAATCAAAGACTGAAACAAGACAGGGCTGAGTGAACAGCTAAGTGCAAACAGATCGCCAGGCACCGCTGAAGATGAGGAGGTGATCACAGAGGTTAGAAAGGAACTAACGGGAGAGCAGGGCAGAGGGCACCCAGCACATCCCGGCCTGGAAGACAGAAGCCAAGAAATGGCAGGGAGAAGCCAAAGACACAAACCAGTGGCATTCCTGGGCAGCGGAGGAGGGTCTGTCCTTCCTCGGAGGACTTCCCTCACTGAGCTTTTGAAAGGAATTCTTCACCTGTCAGGAGGACCAAACAAGCCACTTTCAGAGCGACAAACAGATGGGCTTCAGACTTCGCTATAGCAGCACCCAGTGTGGGGGGCAACGGCACGGGGTCTGCAGGCCTGGGAGAGAGCCGAGGAGGGCACCCAGCCAGGCCTGGGGAGGGCCCCACTCCTGAGGAAATCCAGCTAAATAAGGTACTGATTTAGAAGAAAAACTCCAGGAACGGAGACGCTGTGGAGGAACAACAGGTGGTAAGAATTGTATCTGTTTAAAAATACGAAACAGTAGGAATTATGATTCTTCAACACGATGTTTATGTTACGAACTTGGACTGTGTGGTCCAATAATAATACAACCACCACCACCAACAAAAAACACTGGAGGAGGGTGAGGGAGAGGTGAAGAAAGGGGCAGTGGGAATAGGATCGTCTTTCAGAATCAGAGCCAACTGACACTGTCCGCAGCAGAAACTTTCGCAAAACTTACTGACTCAGGCTCTCCATGTTTTGCCTGACCTCTTCTATGACTCTTAGGAGGCTCTTTTGAGAAATAATACCTCTTGTAGCAAAGAAATATTTATTTAAAGAGCAGAAATTCCTGAGCTTTTATTTCAGTTCCTTTTTCTGATTGAATTAAAATGAATACTTTTAAGTAAAACTAGCAAGGATTGTGCTATCCAGTTTTAATAAACTCCATCCTTATATCCATCCAGCTATTCATCCTTCTGTATGCATGTACGTATGTGTGTATATACATGTTTTACACACAGAATGTTAAGTCCAAAGTTACGTTCACTTAATGCTAACGATCGGCTTTCTAGGTGGCGGGAATGTGGGTTCTTTTTCTCAAATAAATAACTTAGACTAAAGGCTGAGCAACAGAGTACTGATTGAACCTCTTGGCACAATCTTTCAAAGCAGATGGGGCAGGGGTTAGAAAGGCAGCGTCAGCTGGGCTTGGTGGCACACGCCTGTAATCCCAGCACTCGGGAGGCTGAGGCAGGAGGATCGCTGTGAGTTTCAGACCAGCCTGGGCTACACAGTGAGTTCCAGGGCAGTCTCAACTACATAGTGAGACCCTGTCTCAAAAACCAAACCAAACCAAACCAAACCAAACAAAACAAAAGAAATGCAGCGTCCTCAATGTTCTAGTAAAGCTGCTGCATCCTTGGGGGTGAGGGGCCAGTCTCCAAGTGCAAGCTGGTCCAGGGGAAGAGCGCCCCCTGCAGCCACCGGCCCTGCCTGTCTCCTGCCACTCAGGACCTCCTGGGAAGGGAGCCCTTGAGGCTCCATAATCAGAGGTTAGGGCTGGGCTGAGACTGCAGCACCCCTCAAACGCATGCACACACATGCACACACATGCTACACAACAAAGGCCCTCTGTAAGCTCCATGCTGATTGTCCTTTGGCATCAAGTCCTGGGGTGCTCGACGTCCTTCACGATGGGAGGCGTAATTAAATCTGCAGCTTGTCCAGGGGTTGCCTCGTGGTCAGTGTTTATAGATCATTTTTTCTCCTTAAAGCACATTAGTGCTAATGAAAAAGTACTGCCTCTTTAATGGGGAGCTTGGCCCGGGGATGGAAAATATTATCCCAGAACCTAAGTGGAAATAATTTTGTACTTTTAGGCTACTCTTTTCAGGAACAGCAAATGCTTTGTAAATAAAATGAGCTCAATTTGTGATGAACACAATTTTAATGGTAATCTCTGGCCTTCCTCTATTCGTGCTACCATTATATAACAGATCACGATCTCACATTATTTATTATTTTGACAAATTATTGTACAGTGATAACTAAGACATCATGTCTCTATTCCTAAAGATCATTGGAAACACACAGGGAGCTCTGAAAAAAGACCAATCTCTAGGCCTTGCCCCAGACCTCTGGATGGTTAGAAAGTGTCCCAGGGGACTCTGATTCACGGCCAGGGCTGCAAACCATACTGCGGAGCCGGCTGGGAGAGGGCAGGCCGTTCAAACAGCCACTCCCAAGATCCTGCCGAGTGGCTCTGGTGGCCAGTTCTTTAAAGTTTTCACTGACTTAAGTGAACGCCAAATAATCAAGAAAAGTAAATGAGTAAAAAATCCAAAACTGGAAAACACCTTTAAAACACACACTAGGTAACAAGATTTAAAGAAATCACAGTATAGTGAAAATAACCAGTAAGATACAGTTTAAACGACTATCAATAGGGCCGGGGATTTAGCTCAGAGGTTTGGTGGCCTGCCTTGCAAGCGCAAGGACCTGAGTTCAATCCCTGGTACCAAAAAGAAAAAAAACCTAAAAAAAACAACTATCAATAAAGTTGACGTTTAGGAGGCAAGTGATCAATTACAAGGTAGCGAAAGTGGCCTTGAAATCAGAGCATATGAAGAAATAGTGAAAGTCTTAGTGGACCTCAAGTTCAAAATAAGCCAAGAGGACATCCGCCAATACCGCAGCCAAGGCTGACAGGAGAAACCTCTCTCTCCAAATGCACAGAAATGCTGCACACGTTCCCAAGTGCTACCCTTGAAGGAAAAAAACAAAAGGAGAGCAGGGCAAATGCAGGATGAGCCTGAGGGCCGAGAGGTCTTTCTGGGCAGCTGGTCTACCTGTGGGCTGCACAGGGATGCTGCTGGGGGCCTCGGCCAGTGTGAGTCCTGCGCAGAGCGGAGAGTCGCAGGGGACTGTGTCTTCCAGGAAATCGGATCCTAAAGCCAGCCAGAAAGTTGCCCTTCCACCCAGCGCCGTGTATGTGGGAAGTGCTTAGGAGAACCAAAGTGCCAAGTGCGTACCGTGCACAGCTGTGGGACCCACACACATCCTCAGGCTGCGTGGACAGCTGCCCCGAGAGGTGAATGCGCCTTCCTCAAACCACGGGGTGCAGGGGCCTGAGGTCGATGTGGGGGGTCAGGCAGACAGCAGTGCTGTGGGTGCCGGGACACGGGTGCCCTGCAGGTGGCTACTCACTGGTCGCAACAAAGACCAGGCCTGTGCAGGACCTGAGGACAATAGCAGACCGGCACGCCTGACTCAGGGGTCGGGGGACTTACTTGTAGTTGTCGTCTTCCACAAACTTCTGGAGCTCTTCGATGTAGCGTACGGACTTCAAGTACTTCTGCACATGGGGCAGGGTGGTGAGGTGATCTGCAAGAGGGAGACAAAACCCAGAGGTTTCAGGCTCGCCCCGCTCCAAGTCCAAGGAGCAGCATGGGAACCACTGGCTTAGCCGCTCCTGGGATGTGGAGGCTCACGCTTCTGAGAGCTGCGCATCTCCCTGGGGCCAGGCCCCGTGTGGGGGAGCCAGGTGTGCTCTTGAGGAGCGGCCCCAAATGTCTGAGGCACAGACATTATGCTCTGAGGCCACTACGGTTCTTTCTCCAGGAAGGAAAGCTGAGACTTCCACTGAGGGAACAACAGCTGGGGACAGATGGCGCCCTGGCCTCTAGAAGAGCCCAGAAATGGAGTCTGTTCCCAGACAGGTTTCCACTGGGGGCACCAGGCAAAGCCTCTCACACCTGCTTACCGCCTATGTGTCAGGAACACAACTCACCCAGCTGGGGAAGCCCCGCCAGATGCAGGCCCACAGCTAGAGGGGCTGAGTTCTGGGTGGAAGGGGAGGGGGCCCATGCCCGAGTCCCTGTCTGAGCCTGGCTCTGCACCGGGTGACTTACGGGTTAGTCTGTTTTAACCTTCACTCCTGCCTCACATAAGAGAAATCATACCCGCACTGCACAGATTAAGAAACTGAGGCAACCTGCAAAGACCGCAGACCAGAGAAGTGACAAAGCCTGGGGTTGACCCCAGGCCACCCGAGTCTTGTGCCAAACTCTGCCATCTCTCTTTCTGCGGACCTTCCGGGTCACTTCACTTCTCCTGAGAGGGACACGGGGTGGGACAGACACATCAAGCAGAGTGATGGGGAGAGTGTTGGGAAGAGGAACAGGGAGGCAGACGGGAGGGCCCTCACTTCCCAGGCTGCTGGAGCCCTTGATGACTCCCGGCTCCTTGCTTGTCAGATTCCGAGGTCACTACGTTTTTCTAAAGCTCGGTTCTCATTTCTGAAATGAGGATAATGGCGTGTGTTTTATAAGCTGATGACGATGGCGTGTGTGAAGATGACAGTGATAAAAGCTCTGCACACGCCACAGCCCCGTTTTCACGGGCGAGCAAACTTCACAGGAGAAAGTGACGCTTCAAGAGGCAGCACTGAGACGTGAACCCGAGTCTGAGCCCGAGGGCCGTGCCTGTGACCGCTCTGCTGGCCAGCGCAAGTGCAGACTGCACTGGGAACTCAGGTGCCTGTCAGGAGAAAGCTGACCTGGTCCGTGTGCCCCGCCACGCTGCTGGAGGGGCTGGTGAACGGACACTGCCTTTGGCGATTGGCAAACGCACGCTGGCTTCTCTGGGACCCTCCTGAATGGAGGCTGCTGGTCCTCTCACACCCTGTGTGTTGTTTCTTAGCCCTTGTGAAAACCCTGCCCCACAGAGGCAGGCTCCTGCCTGGCCCACGGTCCTCTGTCCTCACTCACAACGACTGGGGCACCTGGCCCACCAGCAAGCTCCACACCCTGAAGTCCACCGTCTTCTTGGGTGACCTCAGTGTCTGTGTGGTTGGCCCACCTAGATTCTGACTTCTCAGTGCCTGCAACTTGTTTCCGACACCCTTCTCTTCCGTCCATCCCAGACACCTACTGTCACTGTCACACTTTGGAGCTGGCCCTGTGGAGCAGAACCCAGCCAGTGATTTACCGAATTTCTTCCCCCTTCCTTCTAGGCACGCAGCTAGCTAGATTACATTCCCAGCCTCCGTGTGCAGAAGTGATGTGTACCAAACTTGCAAATCTGGCACACAAAACCCACCCTTGTATCCTTTCTCTCTCTTCCTGCATCTGCCAGCTGAATGCAGAGTCCAGAGGAGGATTCTGAGGCCGTGGGAGACGGTGGAGCCACAGAGGTAAAGAACCCAGTCCCTGAATCTGCTTTATGAAGGAGTGGCCTGCGAGCCAGGCAGACCTTGGCCATACCACTCAACAGATGTGTGATCTTTAATGCCTCAGTTATCTGGGGCCTCATTAGCCTCATCTGTGTTACAGCAATGGTTACATTTAGTCTGCAGAGTCTTTTCTTTTCCTTTCCCGGAACCAGAGATCAATCTCAGGACTTCGCACTTGCCAGGCAGCCTTGGTGTCACTGAGCTAAGTCCCCACCCCCACCCTTTTTTTGGGTTTTTTGTTTTTTTTTTTTGTCTGTAGAGTCTTTGAAAATCAAACCCACATGTGAAGGATCTAGCATATGTTTGATATTAAAACCATGAGATATTAAGTAATATTAAAACCAAGAGCTTTGCAGGGACTACCTGGTTTCTTGAAGCTTTCTTACTGATAAGGTGCTGAATCACATTTCAGTGATGCAGGACTTCACAATTCCGACAACCCAGGGTACTAACCATAGCTGCAGGAAACTTGTAAATCAGCAATGATTCGGAGAATATTGTTCATCTGATTGGACCTTTGTTCGTTTTCCATAATACTGCCTGAGGCAGGATATGCAGAATCAATGTAGATTAGATCCAGAAGATAGATCCCTGAAATTAAGGAAGATATTTAATTACGGTAGGGCGCTCACCACTAATCAGAACAAGGGTGTGAAAGGGCCCTGGTCTGTGCAGAGGCATGAAGGGTACTGATGGAAACCAAAGACACTCCTTGGACTCTAATTCCCATTCTAACTACTCATTTTTTTATGCAGACTGCTGAACTATAAATCAAACATCTGAGCAACAACCAAAACGGATGCTGGCAGATTTTAGCCTTTCTAGTTCATACGTTTCCCAACAACAAGGCTTTTTACCTGTAACTCCAGTGGAAAATCACAGGGTCTGAGAGACATGAGTGCTCATGGTTGTATTTTGTTTTGTTTTTCCCCACCAACCAAAGAAGTTTAATAGGTCTAAGGAGTCATTCCTGGGAGAACATCTTTAGGCTGAATTCTGTTTTTATTTATTCACTGATTTATCCTCTGTTCACTTGACTGTCTGTCCACACACGTGCACACGCACACACATAAATACATCATAAATTAAGGAGCAAAAGAAGAAATAAAAAATGGAACTGTTTTCGGTAGAAGCAACAAAAGCAAGACAGAGAACTGTCTTGAGTGTACTTGATAAGGAAATAGGGTATGATGTAAAAACATGGGTATGTCAGGCGAGTGGGGAGCTGGAGGGCACGCAGGACAAGTTGCCTGGGCAGGAGGTAGGATGTCTGTGCAGCCTGAGCCACTGAACAGCTCTGTAGTGACCGGTGGGCTCCAAGGCCAGCCCAACCTGCCTGGAGATGGAGATGGACAGCGGATGACACACCCTTCTGGCAACCCGCCCTAAGCACTGATACTGTACCCACCAGTCAGGTGGAGCCGGCAGGAGAAACGACGTAAGGCAGAATTCAAGGGAGAGAATACTCAGCAAGCCAAAGAGGAGTTGTTGGTGTCGATGGAAAGCATAGCTGATGAAGAGAGATTCTGTGATTACAAATTTCTAGGCCTGAAGGAACACCACGCCAAAGCACAAAAGGAAAAGCTGCTAGGAACGAAAAGTGAATTCAGGAGAGCTGAGCCTTTGGCAGCCTTGAGAGTTTATATGTTATTATATATACAAGGCATGATCAAAATATACAGTGAATATCAAAACTTTAAAAGTTGATTACAGTGAAAGGCACAGTGTTATTAACCCCGCCCTGGTTCGGACACACTTAGTGCATTGCTCTTTCCACGGTCTGTGAAGTAGTTTTGGAAATTCTTTTTCGTGTTTCTAGAAGGTGGGATACAAATAAGTTAAAAGTGCTTCCAAGTGCCATCCAACAGAAAAGCAGGCTCATAAAAACACTACGTTGTTGGGAAGGGAGGAGGGGGTGAAGGGAGGGAAGGGACAAGGGGAAAAATGAGAACCAAGACCTGTCATGATAGACCTGTACAAGATCCCGAGGATGAATGTAACTGTACTGTATACCTAGAATGTACCAATAAACTCAATGAGGAAAAAACAAAACAAACAAACAAACAAAAACACTACATTGTATCTTCAGCCACCTTACTTCACAGGGTCCTGCCCTGCTCAACTTCCGGCTCTTCTCCGAACTTATAACGAGCTTGAAAGGTAAATGTTTTGAATCAATTCAGGACATCAAGGCAGCCTCAACAGCACAACTAAGAACACTCACAACAGATGACTTCTAGAACTGCTTCAGAAAGTGGCAAAGATGATAGGACAAGTGTGTTCAAAGTGAAGGGGGATATTTTCAGGGGAGTTAATGGCAATGTGCTTTTTATTGTAATGAATTTTTAAAATTTAAACATTAATTGTATGTTTCAATCCTATCTCATAGAGATACACAAATACATGCACACATATGATATAGTATCATAGTGACAAGCTTGGTTCTATATAAAAATATAGCTCCTTTCAAATGTACACGGTATACTCACAAAGCTTATTTATACCAGATTATAAAGAAAGGTTCTGAAAGTTCTGAAAAGTAAATGCCATATTATCCACATTTTACCTTACTATACTTCATCTAAGATTTAAACACAGAAAAATAGCCATTTGAAAACACATACATACGGGCCCACACATATACACGCTCATAAGTAACACCCACATCAAAGAAAAAGCAAAAAAATTCATAATTAGAATCTGCTTGAAGACAATGACAATGAGAATGTTACATATCAAAAGTATGTTCCAAGAGCCAGGCGTGATGTCGCACCCCTGTAATCCCAGCACTCGGGAGGCTGAGGCAGGAGGATCTCTGTGAGTTTGAGACCAGCCTGGGCTACATAGTGAGTTCCAGGTCAGTCTCAACTACATAGCGAGGCCCTGTATCCGAAAAAAAAAAAAAAAAAAAAAGTATGTTCCAGCCAAAGTGCTTACCAGAGGAAAATGATAGCCTTACGAGTTTACTATCAAACAAGTAAGAATGATTGCAAACAGAGCATTTAAGTTGGTACTTAATGTCAAGAGTTTTGAATGGATGGATGAGCACTACACTAAGGATTAGTCACTGTCATATCTGGTCCTTCCAACAACCCATTTTAGAGCAGAGGAAAAGGAAACAGAGGGGATGTGTAACTTGCTCACAGTCACACAGCTGGAAGATGCTGGAGATGAGTCGAACCCAAGCCTGCCTTCTCTGGAGTACAGGCTTCCTGTCAGCACGGGTGCTGGATACCATGAGTCATTCGTCTGCCTTTAAAATAGCTACATATTGTTATGGGAAACCATTAAATCACAGAAACATAACCTAGCACATCTCAGAGGAGCTGTTTCTACTTCCTTTCTTTCTGGTGGTACCGTGTTCCAAAATTTTAATAATTAGAAATAATTTCCCTTGCACACAAGTTCCAAATTTGGTAGGTTTGAACCATTATTCGTTCTTTCTCTTGACTTTGCTTCTCCTCTCCCCTCCTAAAAATGTAACTCAGTTACCTCTCCGAGGATTCCACTATGGCAATTCTAAAAATCCCGGACTGCTTCAACCACAACAAAAAGCATCCCCCACCGCTGAGCAGGGGAGGGCCAGCACGCAGACTTCAGCTTGCCTGACGCAGAGCAGCTGGGCATAAGATTGTCCCAGGAGCAGCGAAACTGCAGAGCAGGATAAGGACAGAGGGGAAACTGCTGCTTCTGGGCTTCAAGTGTAAGACAGAACCTTCCCCTCCTTGTGGTACAGACCTTCTTCGTTTAACAACTTACCTATTGAATGACTGTTCGGACTTACGACCCGTCGTTTTTTTATATACAGTTCTGTACATCTTGTTTATAGAGCCTCAGTGTCTTTTTTTGGTACAGTACCTCTTGTTTATACAGTACTGTGATTTTAGCCGATTGTACTGTACAGTACTGTAGTTTTATGTTTTGTTATACATTTCAGTACTGCCTGTAAGAGTAATACAAATAAAGCTAGTCATCAAGTTTGAGTCTCCTTTGAACACTTCTTTATTCTGAATAATCAATTCAGTTAATGACCTAGATGCAGGAATGTGACTCGATCATTAAACAAGGAATGTCTGTATTAACTCCAGGAAGGAGAAGACTAAAACTCAGAGAGCTGGGGAAGCCTGTGCAGGCCTCGTGGCCAGGGCGCTGGAATCTGCAGCAGGTCTATCTGGGTGCAGCACCCAAGTTCCGGCCCCAACTCCCACACCATCACCGGAAACCCATAAGGAATGGTCTTTTCTCAACTAGCATCTCAATGTGGAAGACTAACCCATGCTGTGTCCTGGGATGGGGCGGTTCCCAAGTAGTGCTCTGCAAACAGGCTGGAAAGCTGGTAGACCGTTTCCTGGGGCCACCACTAGTCCCTCCTTACTCCCTGAGGCCCTCGGAGGGCTCACTACTGCATAAAGAGGTAAATTCTACTGTCAGGATGTTCGTAATCCCCCAGCATGCAGGCGCCAGCACTGACCTATTCCTCTGGCCCCGAGAGGCTAAGCCAAGGCCACAGGAGCCGAGGACAAGGTGGTCCTCCCAAAGCGGGCAGCAACCTGGGGACACCCCAGCCTTGGCCATGCTTGGACAGAACCTTCACACAGACAGCCTTTCACTCCCACAACCACCACGGCCACAGAAGCAGCGGATCTTTTATGGTTAGCACTGCACAAATTCAGCGAAACCTTCTGGCATTCTACACCAGGAAATACTTATGTGCCTAAAAAGAGTAATGAAATGGCAAGAGCAGCCCCCGCCGGCTGGTACTGTGCCAGGCCCTGGGCCCAGCGCTCCGCGTAGTTAGCGCTCACCACACCGCAGCTGGATGCTCCTGTGGTTCACTCACGCACCGCCCAGGAGACCTACGCCTCTGAAAACAAAAGGGCCGAGTCCCAGTGTTTGGGACAGAACTCAGGGGCTGCTTGGGAAACCCCAGATGAAGAAGGAAACGCGAGTTTTATTACATAAAATGCAAGTCTTATTTAACCCATATGATCACCGTATGAAGCGCTCGTTATTATCTTTACTTTGTAGCTGAAGAAAAAGGCGCCGAGGGTCAAGTCATGGTGATTACAGCTCATGATTACCAAGAATTTACCACATCAGGTCCCAAACTACGAGCTTTGGGCAGATTATTGCTGTGTTTTATGGAGGAAGGAATCAAGCTAAACAAGGCTGTACCACTCACCTGAGGTCCCACAGCAGGGAAGCGGTGGTATCAGGTCTGCCCAGGTTACCAACTTGTCAGTCTTTCCTTCACATCAGTCACAACCTCTGGCACCTGATGACCAGTGAGGCAAGATGGAGACACAGCCGAGCCCAGAGGGGCCCAGGCAATGATTCTCCTTGCTCGACATCTCTGGGGTCAACACTCTCCCAGGGGGCCCATGACAGGACTATGGCTACCTCACCCTGCTACACCTACCACTTCCTACTTTCCACCCCTCTCCCACTCATCTGCGTCTGTCAGTCCCCGACCCCATTGGTAGGGGCCTTTCCAAGCTTGGGGGCACTGCCAGCACTGCCCATGACAAGCAGCTACGGTGTTAGAGTGTTAGGATGGAGCCAGGACCCTGGGAGCCCTGGCTCTGCCACGT